ATTTGATATACATTTAATATGTAAGTGCATATGAAATATTCCATCGCAGCCTTGCCGGTTTTTGTCGGAAGCACCAAACCGGGGTTTGTTTTAAGCTGTGGTTTTCCAGGAGCCTGTGTGTTGGCCTCTTATCATGGCGCTGTTAGATTGTAGGTCTTTTGGTTTTTTGGTTTCTTTCTTTTTTCCACTATGAGCTTTAAAAAATTAAACGCTCAGGCTTAGGCTGGCTCTACATTCTATAAGCAAATTTTTTTTCATGAAGCCATGTAAAAAATGAAAAAGGTGATATGTATACAAATAATGTGGGGGGTGAGAAAGCTCATTTTCTTATTTCCTAATGTATTGACTATAGAAAGCTTTGACTACTGTTTAAGAATTCTTACAGTTAAGCGTAGGCTTGTTCTCGCTTGGATTTGGAGAGTTTGCCTGTGTGTGTGTTTAACCTAAATGCATTTCCTGAATTCTAATTTACTTCACTCAGAATTCAGTGCTCCACTGTTTTACAGACAGCGGTGCCCTGAGGTTGTATATTGTGGTCTGTATATTGTTTTGTACCTATTCACAGTACCCAATCCATGAGGACTTATTTTACTAAGGAAAAAATAAGCGTTTTTAAAGCTATATTGTAGGCATAATTTGCTTTTCAACTAGAGGTCACTTGGAAATTAAATGGAACTGTTACAGTGAAGGTTATTGAGAGACATAGTACACAGACACTTCAGCCTATTCTAGCTGTGTTCTTTACTGATAAATCAGGACTCAGGAAACACATGGTGGCTATTTTTTCCCCCTTAATTTTCAAAGTACGCACTTAATGCACTTAAAAGATTATCTGTTCCCTTCCAAATTCTAAATACTGTCAGTAGTAGAAGTGGTTTCTTAGTACAGGAATTCTGTATGCCCACGGTAGGGAAAGTGTTTATTAGGATATTTGATTGGACATGAGAAGAATGCTCACATGGACCTGGTATGTCTGGTTTATGTTTGAACTTCTGGGTCAGGAGGCTATAAATAACAGGTGATGTGTTGATGATTCTATCTTGTAATTAACGACAAGGGGTTGTGCACAGTAGAGTACATACAGCCCTGAGAGGCAGAATTCAAATCCCTTCATCAGTCTGCATTATAGTTTTCTCATTGGCGGAATGGGTGTGCTGTTGACTTGGAGTTTGGTTGGAGCTTTGTTATTTTTGGAGTATTAGGAATGATCATTCTTTTTGATTCTTAGAGTTTGGTACCAATTGAGGGAGAGGCAAAAAAGCTTATAGAAATCAAAAATAACAGTTTTAATGCCGATGGTTTTATTAGCTTTGAGAATGTGACTTAGAAGGGTGGCCTTCTATAGCTGGACTTCCAGTACAAGCCCATGTTTAGACTTTGGGCTTTTGTTTAAGAGGGAGAGTTTGTGTAGACAAAGCAAACACACACACGTGAATTCCTGCCTTGCCCCCAGCAGGTCCTGATGGTGGGCACCGAGAGGGGCAGGCTTGCTACCTGCCTTTGAAAGTCAGGTCTCTTTACTCCCAGCACATGGAAAGACTGAAAGGAAACTACAGGTTCCCTACGTGCAGGCAGATCGTAAAATAAAAAGAGGAAAAGGCTGAGACAAATATATGCTCAGGTCCTCTTCCCAGTCCTTTAGAGAGGAAAGAATGAAAAAGGGAAAGAGGACGGAAGCTTCCTTCTAAATGCTTCAGAGGTGGAATTCCTTTATCGCGAAGCTGTGGGAACATGTTGTTTGAAATTACAGTGCATTAGTTCAGTTTCCCAAAGAAAATAATTAATCTCATTTTTTTTACTTTTTATTTATTTTTAAATAGATTTTATTGACTATACTATTATAATTGTCCCAATTTTTCCTTCTTTGCCCCCCTCTGCGTGATACCCCCATTCCCTCTAGCATCCCCCCCACTTTAGTTCATGTCCATGGATCATGCAGGTAAGTTCTTTGGCTTCTCCATTTCCTATACTATTCTTAACCTCCCCTGCCTATTCTGTATCATGTCTATTCTACCAATTATGCTTCTTAATCTCTGTACCTTTTACCCAATTCTCCCCCTTCCCCCCCCAGCTGATAACCCTCCAAATGATCTCCATACCTATGATTCTGTTCCTGTTCTGCTTGTTCGCTTAGTTTGTTTTTTAATATTCAGTTGTTGATAGTTGTGCATATGTTGCCATTTTAATGCTTATGGTTTTAATCTTCTTCTTTTTCTTAAATAAATCCCTTTAACATTTCATGTAATAATGACTTGGTGATGATGAATTCCTTTAGCTGTACTTTGTCTGGGAAGCACTTTATCTGCCCTTCCATTCTAAATAATAGCTTTGCTGGATAGAGTGACCTATGTTGTAGGTCCTTGCTTTTTCTCACTTTGAAAACTTCTTGCCTGTCCCTTCTTGCCTGCAAAGTTTCTTTTGAGAAATCAGCTGATGTCTTATGGGAATTCCTTTGTAGGTAACTGCTTTTCTCTTGCTGCTTTTAAGATTCTCTCTTTATCTCCAACCTTTGGCATTTTTATTGTGATGTGTCTTGGTGTGGTCCTGTTTGGTGCAACTTTTTTGGGATTCTCTCTGCTTCCTGGACTTGTATGCCTATTTCCTTCACCAAATTAAGCATGTTTTCTTTCATTATCTATTCAAATAAGTTTCCAATTTCTTGCTCCTCTTCTCCTTCTGGTACCCCTGTGATTCAGACATTGGCACGTTTGGAGATGTCCCAGAGGCACCTTATACTATCCTCATTTTTAAAAAATTCTTTTTCCTTCTTGCTGCTCTGGTTGAATGCTTATTTCTTTCTTATGTTCCAGATTGTTGATTTGAGTCCTGGCTTTATCCCCTCCACAGCTGGATCCCTGTAGGTTTTTCTTTATTTCCTTTAGCGTAACCTTCACTTCTGCCTGGGTGTTTTTGTGCTGTTGAAGCACTCAGTGAGTCCTTTGAGCATCCTGATCGCCAGTGTTGTGAACTCTGCGTCTACTAGGTTGCATTTCTTCATTTTGTTTAGTTCTTTTTCTCTTCTTTCATTTGGGCCACACTTCTTCATCTCCTCAATTTGGCAGCCTCCCTCTGTTTGTTTCTGTGTAGAGCTGCTTTGACTCCCTGTCTTGGTAGCACGGCTCATTGTAGAAAAGGCGCCTGTAAATTGTGTGGGACAGAGCCTTAGGCAATCGCCAGGGTGGAGCAACCCACTTCACCTCTTTGTGGCTCTGTGAGGGGGGGAGGGCTCAGAGAAGGGACAATACCAGGGACAGTGCTGTGGCCTGGCCTTTGGAGGTATGCCCGGCACTCACCCTGTTTCCGGTCACTTCACTTACTCCCTGCATTCCACTGGTGCCCTTCCAGCTGTTGTCCTGGTGCTGAATCCCTGAGGAATGTAGGTCTGCATATGTTCTAAGGCTGTGTGGGCCTTTTAAGTGGAGTCTCCTGAAAATCCGGCAGTTTCTTCCACCACCCCAGCCCTCACTGGTTTTTCAGGCAGGAGTTATGAGGACTTATCTTCCTGGCACTGGAACCCTGGGCTGCATGGTCAAGCCTGAGGCTGGGACCATTCACTCCAAAGGTGTCCCTCCTGATTTTTATCCACTACAGATGAATGTAGGACCACCCATTCTGCCTCTGGCACCTCTCCATGCCACACAGTGTCTCTGCCTTTCTTCCCATTCAGCATCTCCCTCCCTGCTACCCATCTGGATAAATGCAACTTCTTCAAATCCTTGGTGGTCAGACTTCCATACAGCTCGATTTTCTGAAGGTTCTGTGTGTTATTTGTTTTGAGGTCTAGTAATTTTTTCTGTCGTTGCTCCAGGAGGCAAAGTGTGTTCACTAACACCTCCATCTTGACTGAAAGTCCTCACTTCATTTAATATTAGTATTCAGTACCCTTCCTTTTAACCCTAAAATATCACCGGGAAAACAAGAAACCCCATTCTGTTCTCTTCCACATTTGAAATATGTTAGATATACAGTGTGTTTTGCTTTATAGGGTCAGATTGTTGAACAATCTGAGTAGAGAATAGGTTCGTTACCATGGCTACTGCTAGAGCTGGACCATGCTGTTAACAATTTTATTAGTATAAACTTTATGTAAATGGTAATATAGCTGTGTTCTCTGCGTCTGGGGTCCTGTTCAGCGGATGACTGTTGGGAAGCATGTCTGGCCAGATGTGTTAGAGCATCTCCTTTTTTGATACTTCAGGAAAAATCAGCTGTGCGTCATTGAGAGGTCTCCCTGGGGAGAGTCTGCCTTTTTGGATCCCCAGTGGAACTGGAGTGCGGAACACAATCCCAGGCTAATTTAACCACTTGGGGTCACTTGCCTGATCATTCTGAACAAGACAAACCTTTTCTTTCCTATGTACCAGCCAAGAACAGTGTAACATTAGAAGAAAATATAAATACAACCAACTTATTTTTTTTTTGCATTTACCCTGGCATTTACCTTTGCATTTTTTAATTAAATTTATTAACAGTGGTTAATAGGGTCATATAAGGCCTCAAGTGCACATCACAAAAACCTTTGATTCCTGGATAGTATAGTATAGTACAAACACAACCGATTTCTTATGAAGTCTATCTTGATTATTTTGTAGATTATTGGAACCCTTGCTTTTTTTTCTTATTTTTCTTTTTCTTTGATCATTTTACTTGTAAATATTTTTTTGCAGCAACAGAAGGGGAAGGGGAAGATGAAACATAAATCAACTTTTCTCTTTTTTAATCTTATAAACACTTGACTTGAAAATATGTACAGAGCACTGGGGGCCCATGACAAAGGAGTGGAAAGTATTCCAAAAAAGTTTTATTTTTAAGAAGTTGAGAATTTTATGTTTCTATACTATGACCTGGATACTTAGTTTGACCATTTGGGAGTCTTTCCAACTTTAGAATATTTTTCTTTCTCAAATTAAATTTAGTGTTAATTTACTTGAGCTTTTTATGGATGCTTTGTGAGGTGCATTATTTTTTTGTGGCTAATCTTTCCTTTTTTTCCATTTCAGCCGATCCTATAAAGATACTGATGCCATCCCTGTCTCCGACAATGGAAGAAGGGAACATTGTGAAATGGCTGAAAAAGGAAGGTGAGCAAGTTCATCACTCATGCCCTGCGTGAGCTGATCATTTCCCCCAATCAGTTGTGTTAAACGATACATGATAAGTGGAATAAATCGGGGTTCTCTGCTAGTTAACATGTTTTTTCAATACAATTTTTTTCATGGTAATGTCGCAAAGTTTTTCTGGATTCAGACCGTAACTTTTCAAAAGCAGAGAATGATAGTGTTTTATGGGTTTTTTCCCCAAGTTTTAGTCCTAATACTTAACTTTTAGTTTCAACATTATAAATTTGTCAGTCCCCTTAAATTAATTTTAGCTTTATGATGATTCTGTGTGTGTTTGTACGTGTGTGTTTCCTGAGGCTAGACAAGTTGATGATGAATTTCACTGGAAAGAACAAGTAAGTAAGAATAATAAGGAAAACTCTAGAAAGAAGAGCAGTGGAGGAAGACTGTTTCTCTACTATATATTGAAACGTATATTTTTAAACCCCCATAATTAAAACTGTGGTATTGGTGCTTAAAGAGACAAATCATAGAACTGAATAGAAAAATGAGAAAATAAACAATTGAACATGGGTATTTAATGTATAATGAAGGAACACAATATTAGATTTAGTGTTTGTACTATCCCAAGGAAAGATTACAAATGAATCGGATACTTAATATACAAAAAAATAAAACTGTACAAGTACTAGGGGGAAAAATGGTGAATTTTTCTCACCCTAGAAGTGAAATAAACACCCCAACTACAGCTGCAAGTCCAGATGCAGTAAGGGAAATGTTGATAAATTTGATGATAAAAATCATAACTTTCATATGGCTGAAAACACAATAAGTAAAAAACAGTGACAAATTGAAAGGATATTTGTAATCACAAAGGGTTAATATTCCTAAAATTTAGAGAATAAAAAAACTATTACCTCAGTAGGAAAATGGGAAAGATATATAAACAAATGGTTTTCAGAAAAAGAATTGCAAATTACCTTTAAACATAGAAAAGACAATAAGAAACAAGCAAACAAATACTACACTGAGATCACATTTCTTACCAATCATAGTGACAGATATTAGGAAGTTTGACAAGCTGCTCAGCTGACAAGGCAGTGGAGGGAATGGGGGAAGCAGGCACTTTCATGCATTTCTGGAGGAAATACAAAATAGTATAAGCCCTGGAGAAGAGAATTTGTCCATATCCAGGCAATTCTACTCATAGGAATTCTGTAGGAATTCTGTGTCGGTCTTACACTGGCAAAAGTCGTTAGGCGTCATAGCTAGCAACAGAACTAGACTTCCAAGAACTTCAGTTCATTGGAATTGCCAGATACACAAAATGAATGTTTGGAATGGTGAAACATGTAAGAGAAAGAAATGAAAATACAAAGACAAACAAATACTATCCAAAAAGTCTAGACAGATTTGAAAAGGACAAATAGAATTTTTACAAGTGAAAAATATTGTCTCTAAAACAAAAAAAACCCAGAAACCCAAGGTGGGGTGGAAGTGTGGTTAAATATGACTGACCAAAGAATCCATGAACTGAAGACCAGCCTGAAAAAATTGGCTTGTGTACAGCACAGAGAGAGGATGCAGTAGAAAATATGAAAGAGAAGTTGAGCGTGAAGAATAAAATAATAATGATCCAATAGGAGGGATTCCAAAAGGAGAAAAAAACAAGGAATGAGGAGGAAGTAATAGCCAAAGAAGTGGCAGAGACTTTTCTAGAATTCGAGAAAAACATGTCATATAATTGGAATGACCAGTGCGTCATGTGGAAGCACTTCGAGTAATTGGCTGTGCGTGGCTGCTGTCATCTTTTAAAATAATTATCAGTCTCTAAGAAAGTTTCATCTTTATAAATAATGTAATCAGTTGGAATCTATTTTTAAGATTTCTTTTTCCTGATAAATTACAGAGCTTTGGCTATTTCCATATTCAGTATGATAGAGTGTTGGTGTCATTAAATAATAATTCAGACACAGAACAGCCTTTCAGGGTTATTATAAAGGGATTAATACTTTTTATACTTTGAGAACTGATAGACAAGGGGATAAGAGGATTCTTCAGACCACATTCATCTCTCAGACTTCTAGCTCATTGGCAGTCTGATAAGTTATTCACAGCCATTTGCATATAGAGAGTAGGAGGAAGAGCCCAGAGACAAATGGCCTCATCATTCTGTTCTTTTTTCCCTTCGATTACAATGTGCTATTTTTATATGGGAAAAGCCAAGTTGTTCCGTAAGCCCATGCACATGTCTTCCTGAAGGTCGCTCTTAAAATTCTGTGTCCTGTAAACTGAGGAGAAATGTTTATTTGCTAATACACTATAATTAACTCAGAGCAACTTAAATCTTTGTTTCTTAGTTATTTGCTGGCTTCTTTTTAAGTTCACCCTTTGTGGTTTAACTGAGCATAATTTACTTCTTTTTATTAACGTTTATGTACTGTTCACATGGGTATTACTGTACATGCCTATGTATGTTTACTTTTTGATATATTTATGATAATATACATATCCTATATATTGGTTCATACATCCTATATTAAAATCTGCCTAATATTCTGGCAGAAAACTTTTTATATACCTTTTTTATTAGCTGTGTCTTTAAAATTTATCTTGAGATCTTTATTAGTGTACGGTCACCATTTAAAACAATGAGTTTTTATACCCTCAAACATTAAGATATTGAAATTTTTTTGATAAAACAGAACAGTGTTGTAGCTAATCGTGAATCTGATTTGTTTTTAAGCAAAAGTTAATCCGATAACTTTTAATGGGTAGCATTTTGGTCTTTAAATGCAGGAGTGTCTAACACGCAGCGCGCGGGCCACTTACGAGGACTTTTGCATGTCTGTGGTGGCAGATATCATGAGGATTATGCACGGACCTTTTTTTTTTTTTTTTTTGGTTTGTCAACTTTTATTAGTGTTTGTGTATTTAATGTATGGCCCCAAACAGCTCTTCTTCCAGTGTAGCCCAGAGATGCCAAAAGGTTGGACACCCTGCCAAAGTGTCTTAAAAATCTGTTACATTACTATTATTAAAGTCACGTGTGTGTGCGTGTGCACATGTGTTTTAAGCCAAGGCAATAAGCGTACAATGAAAAGAACTTCGGATGGCCTGGGAGCTTGGGCCATGCAAATCAGGTTCTTTCCTCGTGTGTGATGAAATGGAGAGTTGGCAGCCTTGCTGCCTGGGGGCCCCTTCTGTCTTCCCACACTGCTGTAGCTGCTTTGTCTTACCAAATCACTTCACTGTGTTCATCTACAATATACTCTGTTGATTGTTTCTTTTTATTTCACTCCTAAGATTTATTTCATTTCCAGGATAGTTTTTCCTTTCTGTCTGATATTATTGTATTCCTCCTGTACATCATTGTTTTTTTCTATCTCTTGATTTTGTGATGGGTCTTTCTTTTCATCTGTATTTCTGAACATCCTCAAATACTTATTTTCAAGTCTTTGGCAGCTTGCACTAAATGAATTGTATCTAAAATGAACTTCCGTTCCAAGTATTGATTCTGTGGTTTTCTTTCTTAGCATTTGGATTTCTTCATATGTCATGGAACTTTGTTTTGCAATTTACTTTTGAATGGAAGGTGTTTGTTCATGTTTTAGTGTCTTCCCACTTGTCCCCTACTCCTTCCCTCCCCCGCCCTCTAATCAGGAATTTTGCTGTTGGTGTTAGAGATATTAGCAGGTGCAGCGATGGAGCCAGGGGCTGGCTTGGAGCTTTTCCTGGCACTGAGGGGGTGTTTTCTTCCCCTACCTTCCTAGACCCACAGTGCTACTCAGAGTCACAGTCCTGGTCCAGAGGTGTGGATCGCGTATTTTACCAGCTTCCTACTAGGAACGGAGGAACCCTGACCCCGCTTTAGGTTGAGAATCTGATTGGAGTCCCCTGGCTTCATAAGGTTGCTCTTAGTTCCCTTTACTTGGAGAGAAGCTGCTCTACCCCAATCTGATCTAGATCTAGAATCCAGCGAGTCGGGCCTGCTCACCAATTTTGAGTTTCCAATTTCTGTTGCACAGAAACGTTTCTTTCTTCTTTTTTTTGTAAGATTTTATTTATTTATCTTTAGAGGGGAAGGGAAGGAGAGAAGGAGAGAAACATCAATGTATGGTTGCCTTTCGTGCGTCCCCTGCTGGGAACTGGCCTACAGGGGACCAGCGTGCAACCCAGGCATGTGCCCTGACTGGGAATTGAACTGCGATTGTCTGGTTCGCAGGCCTGCGCTCAATCCACTGAGCTACACCGGCCAGGGCTCTGTTGCACAGAAACGTTTCTTATTTGACCGTATTGTATCTCGATCACCTCTCGTTTTGTTTAATATACCTTATTTATTTATGCTCTGTGGTGCCAGCAGGTTTTCTGAACTCGATGTTAAGCCAGAAGTGCTCTTAACTGTAAAATTTTTCTCTTTGTGGAATAATAGTCCAAGTACATCATAAAGGAAGGAGTGGCATCTGGAATTGATTTCTTAACAGGAAGATATACATCCATTGCTATTGTCTCCAAAATGTGATCTCATTTTTAATATTTGCTCAGTAATCTTTGTACTTGCTTTTTATTATAAGAAATATTGGGTGGTGAACACACAAGGCAATATACAGTTGATGTATTACAGAATTATGTCCCCTGAAACCTATATAATTTTATTAACCAATGTTACCCCAATAACTTCAATTTTAAAAAAATTTTAAAAAACAAGTATCACTAGGTCCATTATCGAGTTTCAGGAAAATACAACAGAACATACTTACATGCACAGGCAAACATATTAGGTGCACAGTGAAAATTCCTTATAGTTCCACAGCCCCAGAAATGGCTACTGAATATTTTGGTGTTTATTATTCATGTTTTACACACACATATACACATCAACTCACATGCCAAAATTCATACTGTAAAAGACAAACCAAACCCAGTCTTATTTTGTAGGCGAAGCTGTGAGTGCTGGAGATGCCTTATGTGAAATAGAGACGGACAAAGCTGTGGTGACCTTAGATGCGAGCGAAGATGGCGTCTTGGCCAAAATAGTGGTAAGTCTTTACTTCGATCGTTTTCACCAGGATGAAGATTTCTTAAATGTGAAGTGCCTTGAAATGAAGTTACCTTTTATTTTTACCTCTTTTTTTATAGCATTGTTTTACCTGCTCCATAATACATTTTAAGCTCAGACGTATAAAATATTTTAGTGTTAAGGACTATGAATAGCCAATGATGATCAGACAACGGAAAACTATTTCGGCCTTATCAGCAGTGGTGCTGGGCGTTTGGGATTTGCTAGGGGAGAGTGAGAAGTATTCTGGCCGGAGGGATGAGAAACAGCTATTTGAGGTGGAATTTTGAAGACCAAGAAGGCAATAGGTTAAAGTTTAGAACTAGCAGTTTCGAAGTTTATCAAACCGAAGGAATGTTTTACTCTTATCACAAGGAAATAAAGAATCCTGTCTCGGGACCCCAGGAGCCCCAGAACCGCCAGTCTGGGGCAGTTACGGTCCGCTCGGCGCCTGTCTGGAGACCAGACTGTTTTCAGATGTCCAGTGAAGTCCTGTCTGCAGGTTTCATTGCCACTCTCACTGACTCGGTTAAATTCTTACTCATTCTTACAATGTAGGCATTTTTATAATCATTTAAATATATATTTAATACAAACGTGTGTATACAGTAGTCTGTATACTTAAATGTAGTTGACAGTCTTTTCTGTTGGTAGTGTATTTTCTGTTCCATAAGCATTTTTATGGAAAATGCGCTGTGCCTCTAGGAGACCAGTCATTTTCTTTTAGACCTAAATTTAAGTATATGCAATTGTTAAACAAAGGCATTTACTAGCCAAAAGGTTTTTATAAAAGAAAGGGTTCATTGAGCCAAATGCTAGCCAGAGAAAGGACCAGGTCCTGGGGTAGGGAGTCTGAACCACCAGTAGCAGGGCTGGAAGGAGCTGAAGGCTCTTACGCAAACAGTTTGAGGAAGAAAGATGTAAGTCATTTTGAAATAATTTGCATTGGCTGTAGATTTAGGGGGTGGGAGAAGGTCAAGAAGAGCTAGTTCAGGGCTGAGTGCATAATCCGTAAGGAAGAAGTGTTTGTGCCTTTGGATTGGCTGTGGGCCACAGTCCAGAAAGTCAAGCATAAGGGAGAAGAGAAGCGGAGCACCTGGTGGTAGGCTACTCGGTTATTCTCAGTAGATAATTCCGGAAATAGCCACCAGGAAGTTCAATCACAGTTTCAAGGTTCACTCAGGAACGTAAGCAGTCTTTTGTTGCTTTTGCCCAGTAGTTGTTAATTGATTAACCTCCCCGGTCTCTGGTCTCTCCCACCCTGAGCCTGCCACTTTGAGAGCCCTTCCCTGGGCAGTCTGTACTTTCTAGCTAATTTAGAACGGGGAGCGGCATGTTGGATACTCTAGTGGTTTTACTAGAACCTGAAGTTAGTACGTCCTGTCAAACAAAATGGGTAGCAGTGTAAGAGAGGTACTTAACAGAAGAAAATAATCTCCTTAGCCATTAAAAACAATTCCCATTAAAAATGTGATTTCTTTATATATGTAGCACATTAATAAATACTCAAAATTAGGGGAAATTATATACAGACAGTGATTATAATCTTAGGACTACACGGAAAAATATAAGTATAGAAAAGAATAAAGTGTCATAAAAATGTTAAGTGTTTATCTTTGGTGAGTGGAACCAAGTGCTCTCCTTTCCCCATTTCTCCTGTAGTTTCTGAATTCTATATGAAGCATATTATTTTTAAAATGGAATGTTCGAGTTTATGTGAAAAGTGAGTGAAGTGCTTAAAGCCTGCCTCTTTAGGGTTGCACAGATGGTCCGTTCCCCGACGGTGCCTGTTTGTTTCCTCACTTCCAGAACGTTTAGTAGGTAGTGTGGGGTAGCAGCCAAGACCGTGGGCTGTGCGGCCTGACTGCTGTAGCTGATAAGGTGGCCAGTCCTTCACTGTGTAACGATCGGCAGAATCTTCCGCTTTGTCTACCTTTTTCTTCATAATAATGTGGGGATAATAATAATACCTACGTCATGGGGAAGCGGTGGAGATTAAACGAGGGAACACCCGTGCAGTCCTCACAAGACCTGTCACCCACCAAGTGTCAATGCATGTTGCTCTTCCCGTCATCACTGTATTTATTCCCTCAGCTCTTGGTGACCATTGGATCCCATGCTTTCTGTCTGTTTGTCTGAGGAATTGTGACTAGACGCTAATCCATGCCTCTGCAATGTGGTTTGTACAGATAAGCTGCTTGTCTATCAGTAGTCCCTTGTTGATGTGTCTTTAATTCTGAAACTCCAGCTTGCCTCTGCTCTGAGCATGGACGCAACAGCTTCCTTTCTACGTTGTATCCAAAGACCACACTTGGAAATGCTCGACTCCAATGAGATGTAGGTCCACACACGGTTTTCACTTGTGTTTCTTACTCGAAAATCCTCTTTCCCTTTTTTCTGGGTGCTTCTGTGTTATTTTTTACATTCTAATTTGCCAAATGTCCTTCACTTGTAATCCACAATATTAGTAGCCATGTAAAACACACTGTTGAAAAATGTTTCCTTGGAGGAAATATGAACAGATGGCAAACATTTCTTTCCTTTTATAACTAAATGCAAATATGTCACCCAGCAGCAATGATTGTAGGCTTAAAAAATATAAATACCCCCCCAAAAATAGTTTCTTTGACTAATTTATGCAGCATTTTCAGGGAGAAAAAAAGTTGTTTGAATTGCCATATGTACTGAGCCCAGCTACATTTTATCATGTGTGCTTTGGCAAGCTGTGTTCTTGGCCCCGACTGTCTGGATTGTTTGGCTATGAACGTCTTCCAGAGCTGATCGCATTTTCCAGGTAGCCGCTTAGCAGTGCAGTGCTGCTTGCTAACAGTGTCGCAGGTCAGCAGTGCCTGATCCTCTGGCCCCTGGTGCTCTGGGGAGCCGTGGGGACGTGACCGATAGCAGCTTTAGTGGCACCAATAGCTGTTTTCTTGCCAAAGAAAAGATTGTATGTATATTTTAGGGCTTTATGGCTTTATTATCATTTCACATGCTTTTTGGGTAGTAGAAATGGGAGTATATTAATGTCACAGAGTGTGCAATTTACTGGGGAAAAATGGGAAAAAAAGCAAGATGATATTACTGGTTTATTTCTTTTCAGCCTTTCATATTCACCCCACTCCATTTCCAGCCCTCCAACCCACACAAGCAAGTTGTACCTTTATCTTTCATTGTGGAATAATGTCATATTAGCATAAATAATAAAATGATTTTATAGGAATACATAAAAGAGAATTTACTTTCAGAATCAAGGAGTTGGATAATTGAGCTTATTAAAGCCAAGAGATGATTTTATAAAGCTCTAGTTTTTAAGTTTTTTTACATTTGTGAAAGTATTAGAATTATAACCTATTTTGCTATTCCCAGGGATTTATTTCCACAGTCTTTTAAGGGGGGTTTGCATTCCCCTCCGTCCATTTTGATTTTTTCTTTGTATTCACTCTATAATGTTTGCATCTGAATTCTACTTTAAATATGAAATAATAATATTTGTTGCATTTCACCTAGAACCAGAAAAGCATAGAAGCTCTTAATGTTAATAAAGAATATTTGCTGTCAGTTTAAATAATTTTATGATTTTTTCCAATTTAGTTCAATTAATAGGTTAAATTCTCATTTAACCACTAGTAAATTGTTGAGCAGAAAACCTTAAATTATTACAAACGTATTAGTGAATAACCTTAAATTTATTATTCAGCAATTTGGATGGCAGGTGTTTTAAATAATAAATTAATAAAAGAAGAATATCAGGGTGTCATAGAGGGTTATTAGAGATTGTCTTCAATCAGTTTCTTCACTGTATCTTCAATACTATGTCAGTAGTGTTTTCTAAAGAATTTTTTTCAATATGATTTTATTTTATTGTTAGGTAGCCTGCCCTTATTTTTATTAAATTCCCAAAGTTGCATTTTATAATTTGAAAGTTTATGGTTGAAATCTGACCTTGTGAGAGCTTCAATTAATTCTTCTCTGTGGACTAACATTTCTAATTGAGAAAATACCCTCTGAAAGCTCAGAGCAAATTCTATTAAATGGAGGGTATTCTCGGTTCTGATTTTTTCCTTTTGAAATGGTAAGTGAGCCTATGCTCCCCAAGAATTAAAAGCTAAATCAGTTATAACCCACTTTACAGCTTCTCTTTCAAGCTCCTTTTAAAAATGGTAGCGCTACCCTGAGGTGCTTTGTGGTCACTTGGTGGTGTGAATGCAGTCACAGATTTGCTGCGACCATACTGAACGCCATACTGAACGCTGGCAGGGGGTGTGCCAGACAGTGTGTGGCTCGGTGCCTGATAGACTGTGGTCTTCAGCACTAACATTGTTATGCCTCAGTTTCCTCATCTGTGAATGGCAGTGATAATGGCACTTAACCTCATAAGATTATTAGAATTAAATGAGTTAATACTGTGCTAGAACAGAGCCTGGCACTTTGCTGGTAAGGCCAGACAAACCTTTATTCGAGGACTTGCTGAATGTTTCTTCGGCCCCTCACAGTTTATCTGGTCTTGTCATTGATTAGCTTTCAACTTCAGTGTTTCTTACTTATGTTCCTTTTAAACCCTAGTTCATTGTGCACATGAGTTAATCATTATATTTTAAAGAATAAAAACCATTGAAAACTGTGTAATGATTCAAACCCTGGTGGCAGTCAGCCCTGTGACTCAGCTTATCTCCGCCAACCACAGTGCAGGCTCCTTCAGCACTTACTTAGCAGCTCTCGGGTACTCCACTTTTAAAAAGAAAAACATTTAAACAATTGCTTAACTAACTGATTGTTTTTTAATGTCAGATCCAAAACACCGTGTTTACCAGCACTTAGGTGGAATGAACCCCCTCAGTTTTCGTGTTGGGAAATACTGCTGTAGCTACTCTGTGGTCATCTCCTATCCTTTATTGGTCCACCAGTGGGGTTAGGTGGCAGTTTTGAGCATATTTGCAGGTGATTTATGTCAAGTCTGTGGTGATGTCTCTGGTAAGTAGCCCCTTCATGGAGGGCACGCCTTGGGACAGAATTCAGCCTCTGTGGAGTATCGTGGAAGAGTAGCTTGTCACAGACCTTACTTCCTGTGGTCTCATACGTTGCTGTTTGCTCTGTAGTACTTCCAGCCTTGTGGTTGCCGGGCCTTAAGGTGTGAATTTCCAACCCTTACCAAGGGACACTGCTCTGTAGTCTAATCTCGATCCGTGTTGAGTATATTTTTTGTTTTAACACCGTAACTTGGAGGGAAATACCAACACCATGATGATAATGATCATGATGATGAAGATGATACCTTTTACATTTATATAGTGGTTACCAGATTTCTGGCACTGTTTTGGGTCTTGTATCTATCTCATTTATTTCCTCATAACAACTCTGAGTAGCAACTATTATTATTTCCATTACAGACAAAGAAACAGTCATGGTGAAATAAAGAAACTTTACTAAGGTCACCTAACTAGTAAGTAGCAGAGCCAGCATTAAAACCAGCGAAGTGTGTAGAAGAATAGGCATGACCGCTAACATGTTGAACGACAAATTTTAGATCCAGTATTTCAGCATTAATCAGCAGTTTTAGCCAGGCTCAGAGTAAAAATCCTGTGCAGTTCATATTGAGAGATCAGAGGCACAAGGGTAGCGGAGGCCCGAGAGGAGGAGAGGATTCCGATCAAGTCAGCCCGGCGCCTGGGAGAAGAACTGGGTGCTGCAGTGGGTTGGGCGCATCCCCAGAGCTAACTCAGAGGGAGCAGTAACAGGCTCGTCTCTTGTTTGGTTTCTAAACACAACTTGGAAAGAGCATTATTTAGTCTTCTGTTACTGAGCCTTCCCCCATTTTAAATATTTGCCGACTGCAACCTAAACAAACTAGTCTACAGGAAACTAGCACACCTCTAAAAGATCTCTTATTTCTCAGGTAATAAAGTCAGAGAAAGGATCTTAACTTCATTTGGTGATTTTAATGACTTTAAATTGAACTACAAATAGACTATTTTCATTTAACTTCTGTTATATATTCAAGTTGTATGGTAGCATACACTTGGCCATTATATTTGGGTATCATTCTTCATGCTGTCATTTTTTAATGGGAAAATGTGAGTAGTTAAAAATAAATTGTACTTAATATTTAGATATGAGAAAAGTTGAAATGATACTAAATGCTCATTACCTGCTTGTGAAGGTATCAGTTGGCAGAGTATATATGGGAATCATTTTTACAATTTATTGTAGATAAAACAGTTGAGGTGTCAGTTTTAGATTTAATATAGTATCTGATTCAGATTTCAGAAATCCATTGATATTTTTTCAACACAGCTTTCCTCTTAAAGAATGCTTTGCATTGGAGCGATGTTCTTTGTACTTGGGTATTGATCCTGTTTCTGGTTCACCGTTGATAGGAATTAATATCAAGTAGACTTTATATTGCTTAGTGTTTTTTTAATTGATTTTTTTAAAGAATAGGAGCTATTTTACTTCGTGGTTTTGAGTTAGCAATTCATAAGCAGATAATTAGACATTTTTAGAAGAAGACAAAATGTTAACTGAATGATAATCGTAACTCATCTTTTTGGTATACTGAAGACAATAAGCAGTCTAAGGAACTTTAGTGTGTGACAAAACATTAAACAAACTGGTATTTTCCACAGCCTGCAATTTCTTAAACATCCTCACTTAGTGTTAAATACACATTTCTTATGTATACTTTGCTTTATCAAAGCCACTGTTTCGTTTCTTCTCCATTAGTAATCAGTAACTTAGAAAGACTCCTTGTTCCTGGAACTTATGTCCTATTATTTGAAGAATGGTGCTCATACTAATCAGCATCAAACTTAGTGTTACTCAGAAATACCAGTCTCATTTTAGGAGTTTATTTATGATTACTATATTGGGCAACGTCCTGCAGCCTGCCATTCAATTATTCATTAAATTACATCTGTAATGAACCTTATTTAAGACAATTGAAAGCCAATAATAGCACATTTTAAAGGAATGACATTTTCCTCTGTTACTGAACTTATACTGTCATGTGAAGGTTCTCTAGGGACTTTCTAAAATTAAATAAGAATTGATTCTTTTAAAATAAATTAGTACTACTGAAGCACTTAAAATATATTTATCTTAAGCTTTATCTTCAGTCTTATTTATACTTTTAAGTGGTGTTATCTGTGCAAATGCGTTTGCTTAGCTGAGAAACCACCATGTTTCTGACGTGCCCATGAGAATGCCATGCAGTTTCATTTTGTCCCAGGTTTGTGAATAGATACAGAGAGAGGTGGAAACCGCACTTAACATTAACCAGAGTAGTTAACCAATTCTGTCTATACAGTGAGATGTTATTTATTCTAGATCAAGTCTACTGAAAATATTTTCTTTAAATTAATTTTAGTAAAGTAAATAGAACCTGTTTGGGGGAATTAATCTCTTATGAGTTCTTGGAATTCTGAAGCCATTGTGTGGAAGCCCTGAGAAAGATTACCAATAGCTGAGATGTGTAACCACGGTCTAGTGTGGGATTAAGAAGGCAGACCATCACAGATACGTCTTATATATTGAAAGGCTGTGAGAAAGGGGAGATTCTGGATGTGTGTGTGTCTGTGTGTGTATTTATTTCAGGAGACAGTATCAGTAACTGGGAGGGGGAAGTGCGAAGGGAAGGAGTAACAGTGGGAACGTAGGAAAGGAAGGTGGTGAGTGGGGGTGAGGAGGAAGCAGATTTCAGCGCCAGTTAAGAGATCTTTCTAACCAGTAACGAATTGTCCAACAAAGGAATAAACTGTTCCGTACGGTCATGAGCCTTCCCATCTCTGCAGTTATTTTCTTTCTAAAATACAGGTTGAAGAAGGGTCTAAAAATATACGGCTGGGTTCACTAATTGGTTTGCTAGTTGAAGAAGGAGAAGACTGGAAACATGTTGAAATTCCCAAAGATGTAGGTCCTCCTGCAGCCGCTTCAAAACCGTCAGCGCCTCCCCCCTCGCCAGAACCACCGATTTCTGCCCCTGTCAAAAAGGAACACACACCAGGGAAATTGCAGTGAGTATGTTTATTCGAATGATGTTGTATAAAAAAGAAATATGTTATGGCAACTCTTATAGTACTTTAATCATATAATATTTAAAACATCTTTGTACATTAAGTAGGAAGTTGCTGACCTTCCTTTTTTTTCTCTTAGGAAACCGAGACTTAGGAATGAGTGCTTTACCTTTATTTGTTCATTCAACAAACAAATAGGTATTGAATGAACACCTGCTGTGTTCCAGGTACTGGGCACGCCCTCTGCGTGTCCACACTGAGCTTGAATGAGGTTGTAGGATTCCAGGATGGAATTCGGTATATAAAACTTCCCATTGTGTTCCCATTCATGGATTCCAATTACTGTGCTACGAACACCACTTTTAAATGTATAATTAATAATAAAATTAGCATTTCAACACGTGTCCCTTTTCCAGCTATTTTGCATTTGAGTTTGAGAGAGATTTGAGCTTTGTTTTGTCTAGTTGTTCTTTAACAACACGGATACTTAGTAAACATTGTTTTACTTTAGCTTTCCATAGCTTTAATTGGTGGACTCTGAAAATTCTAACAAGTTTCACTTATTTAATATTTTCTATAGTACAAATAACTTTATACTACTTTATAGGAAAAAGTTATTTGTAGAGAAAATGTCCTAAAAACCACTTTTGCACTTAAGTAAAACCCTTTCATGTTTTAGTTTTTTTTGTTTTTTTTTTTTAGTTTACCATTGTCAGTTCTTGTCAGGCAAAAAAATGTGTTTTTGAAGTAGTGAATTTTAAATTCCTGTTATCACACAGTGTTTGTGACTCTATGGCCATAACTCCCTTTATTTTCTCCTTTTCACACGAAGATCAGAAGGCAGAGGCTCACGGCCGTCTTGTGCTCAGTGCTCCCCCCCGCCCCGCGCAGAGACAGGGGCCTGCTTTCTCTGTCAAGTCATAGTCAGAGACCCTGGGTCTGAGGCCCTAGGGCATGGTTTACAAACCAGCTGGCTGTGAACCTGCACAGTGCTGGCCCATGCAGTGACTTTCTTTCTTTAAAACACTTCAAATTAGCTGGCTACTAGTTAATCTTACATAAAAATCGGAAATTTCGGTGAAGATTGGGTAGCACTGAGTCCATATCAGGTAGAGCATTTCCCGGATGCAGCTCACGCACCTGCAGCACGGAACAAAATGAATGTGTTCCAGTTCACTTCTAGTTTGTAAACTTGTGGACTCAACTCCTTGTGCTGATTTTCTTTGTCCGACTGTGCAGTCCTTTGTGTTTGCTGCTGTGCTTTCAGGCCTCAGAGGAAGAGTAGGCACTTACTAGTCATGTTACCTTTCACTCTGCCTCAGTTTCCTCGTCTGTAGAATCAGCATAATTGTTTTTGCCTCTCACTGTCTGGAGTGTTTGTAAATTACAAAATGATTTCATCTAGATACTAAGGACTGGAGCAATACTAAGGACTTTGTTTGAAAGATACAATTCAAACAAAATGAAATTAACAACCTAATGAAAATAGGCAAAGGACCCAAGTGTACGTTTTCTCCAAAAAAGACGTACAGATGGCCGATAAACACATGAAAACTGTACAGTATCACTGTGTATTAGGGAACTGCAAATCAGAACTACAAGAAGATACTACTTCACACTCGTTAGAATATCTGTTTTTTTTTTTTTTTAATGCTAGAAAATGCCCAGTGTTGACAAGGATGTAGAGAAATTCAAACTCTTATGCACTGTTGGTGAGAATGTCAAATGGTAGGTTACTACCTGGGGAAAACAGTGTGGCTGCTCTAGTTCCCCAGAACATTAAAAATAGAGTTACCCTATGACACAGCTGTTTCCCTGCTGCATAAACACTCAAAGGAATTGAAAGCAGGGACTCGGAGATATTGGACACTCACATTCATAAAAGCATTATTTACTAGAGCCGGAAGGCGGAAACAGCCTATGTGTCCAAAATGCGCTATATCCATGCAATGGAATGGTATTCAGCCGTAAAATGGAGAAAATGCGGACACGCACACCACCTGAATGAACTTCGAAGACCTTACACTAAGTAAGCCACTCGTAAAAGGACAAAGACTGTATGGTTTCCATGGGCTGCCCAGAGGGCCGAAGCGATACAGGCAGAGTAGAATGATGATTGCCGGGCGTGTGGAGAGGGAGGAACAGGGAATTGCTCTTTCCCAGCACGGAGTTTCGGTCCAGGGAGATGAAAGGTTCTGGGGAAGGACGGTGGTGACGGTTGTCCAGCCATGAGGTCATACTTAGTGCCACTCAATTCTACACTGAAAATACTTAAAATGGTAAACTTTAAGTATATTTCATCACAAAAAATGAAGAAACATTGTAGCTCCTGATTTATCTGTCATGAGCCATGTGAAAAGTAGAAACTCTCTCCTTATGAATATTTACTCTTCTTAAAAGAATACTTTGAAATAGTAATTAAATTTCTGTGAAGATGTTTTGATTTATTAAAAAAAGATTAGTGCAGATTAATTTATTTGTGACTATTTTAGCTTTATTCTTCTATTTTCTTAATTATTAGGAAAAATTGTTGACATTTAGATATATTTGAATCAAATATGAGTGTTGATTCCTCTAACCTTCATGTTCTCTTCTCAGGTTCCGTTTAAGTCCAGCTGCCCGTAATATTCTGGCCAAACACGCGCTGGACGCCAGCCAGGGCACAGCCACTGGGCCTCGGGGGGTCTTCACGAAAGAGTACGTGGGTGCTGCTCGTAATAACCAATTTTGTTATTTATCAAGGTCGTTTTTTTCTAGAATTATTTAAAGAAGAGCTTGTTCAGTGTTAAGATTTAAAAGGAAGTACACTGTTTTTTGTATTTTTATTTTTGTCTGTATAGAAGTGTGTTTGATGCAAGGGTAGTGTTCGGAATAATTGCAGCATTACTCAGGAATAGTTCTAATTTGATAACTAAACCAGATCCTTAGAAATGGTTATAAATGCAGAGTAGTGGAACTTTGATTGTTTTATATTTGTATTAAATAAACATGAATTCACATTTAAATTTCTAAAACATGGAAGTAATTTTTATTTTTTAACGTATTTTATTGATTATGCTATTGCAGTTGTATCATTTTTTCCCCCTTTATTCCCCTCACACTGCACCCCCCCACTCCCACCAGCATCCTCTCAAGCCCTTAGTTCATGTCCATACATGTAGGTTCTTTGGCTTCTCCATTTCTTACACTATTTTTAACCTGCCCCTGTCTATTTTGTACCTACCATTTATGCCACTTATTCTTGTACCTTTTCTCCCTCTCTTCCCCTCCCACTTCCCCCAGTGACAACCCTCCATGTGATCTCCATTTCTGTGATTCTGTTCCTGTTCTAGTTGTTTGCTTAGTTTGTTTTTGTTTTGGGATGCTTTTTTTAGGTTCAGTTGTTGATAGTTTTGAGTTTGTTGTCATTTTACTGTTCATATTTCTGATCATATTCTTTTGCTTAGATAAGTCCCTTTAACATTTCATGTAATAACTGCTTGGCGATGATGAATTCCTTTAACTTTTATCTGGGAATCACTTTATCTGCCTTTCCATTCTAAATGATAGCTTTGCTGGCTAGAGTAATCTTGGATGGAGGTCCTTGCCCTTCTTGAGTCTGAATACTTCTTTCCAGCCTCTTCTTGCCTGCAAGGTTTCTTTTGAGAAATCAGCTGGTAGTCTTATGGGTCCAACTTCTTTGGGACTCTGAGCTTCCTGAACTTCCTGGAACTGTGTTTTGTTTGCCAGATTGGGGAAGTTCTTCATTTTTTTTTTCAAAAAAGTTTTTGATTTCTTGCTCTTCCTCTTCTCCTTTGTCACTCCTGTGATTTGGATGTTGGAACCTTTAAAGTTGCCCCAGAGTTTCCTAGGCTTCTTGCATTTTTTTTGAATTCTTGATTCTTCATTCTGTTCTGGTTGAATGTTTAGTTCTTCCTTCTGGTCCAAACCATTGATGTGAGTCCTGGTTTTCTTTCCTTCACTGTTGGCACCCTATATATTTTCTCCTTTATTTCACTTTGCATAGCATTCACTACTTCCTCAACCATTAGCTGTACTCAACCATTTCTGTGAGTATCCTGATTACCAATGTTTTGAACTCTGTATCTGATAGATTGGCTGTTTGTTGCTTAGTTCTCTTTTTGGAGTCCTGATCTGTTCTTTCATTTGGATTATATTTCTTTGTCTTGCAGTTCCTGTTACATTGTAAGGGGTAGAGTAACCCACAGTCTCTGTGTTGCGGCTCTGTATGTGGGGGAGGGGTCAGAAAGGAAACAGTGCTGCTTGCTTGGCTCTCGGCCAGCTTTCAGTCACTTCCCCCTCTACCCACAAGCAAACTGGGCCTTCTGGTGCTGGTTCCTGGGTAGGTGGGTTTGTGTACGTTCTAGGACCCCGTAGGTCTCTCCAGTGAACTCTCCTGTAAGGCAGAGTTTTTGCAGCTAGAAATTTTGAGGCTTTATTTTCCCTGGAATCCTGGGTTGTATGGTCTGTCTTGCTCCCCAGTTGCTGCTGACAGTTTATCTGCACCCAAATGTGGGGCCACCCGGCCCTCCAGCTGACACCTTGCTGTGCGTCCTTTCCGCCCCCGCTGCCCATCTCTACCCGCCCCCGCAAGTCTGAATGAATGTTTCTTCTTAACTCCTTGGTTGTTGGACTTCCATACGATTCAATTTTCTGGCAGTCCTGGATTATTTTTTGTTTTTAAATTTGGTGTTGTCCTTTTTGGTTGTGCAAGGAGGCAAAGACCATGTACCTATGTCTCCATCTTGGCCAGAAGTCCAAATATTCTTTTAAAAACAATTTTATTCTTATGCATTTGGATTTCATTCACTTGTATGATCAAAGTAATTTCCAAGTACAGTTGGGTCTTTTTTTGGATTTTCTTTTTCATTTTGTCTCTCATTTTTAGTCCCACGCGCTTCATTCTTCCGCATGAATTTTAAACAGTTTGTGTAGCCCCACTGGTGGCGTTTGGCAGAGGACATACAGTATTTGTATTGGGTTGTGTCACTTTTTAAATTAACTTAGAAGTGGCATCATTTTGATGTCAAGTCTTCATATTAAGAACACTGGCACATCTTTTCATGTGTTTAAATTTTGTGTCTCTTAAGAGTGTATTAAAACAGATGTGCCTGCTCTATTGAAACTTACTCTAATGGGAAGTTGGAGATTAGTCAGATAGGCGTACAAACGGGTGGAAGGTTGCTGGAGTTGCGGCACTTTTATATTGGCAGTAATAGTGAAGTTTGCACATTGATTTAATGTTTTAAAGCAATTTGCTTAATTCCATTGTATAATTCGTAAGAATTGATGACTTGACATATTTAGGAATATAATTATATCGTTTTATAAAAGATTCCTTTGTTTTACAGAGTAATACAAAGGCAGGTCTATTACTAGTTTAGTTACTTTTCATTCTAAATGATGTTGTGGGTTAGGTATATTATGTTAAGTTATGCTGGTAGCTTATTAAGCAAAATTAATAATGGGGTGATTTTCTCTCCATAAACAAGCTACTTTGAACTTAACAGTTATTTAATAAATATACTAATGAAAGTCATACGTACAATAAACATGATACTTTCTGAGTGCCTTGGGAAAATTATTTCACAAATATAAGGGTGTGTTTTGATTTATGAATTGTTTATTTTCCAGACAACACACCCCCGATAAAAAGACTAATTTCTTTTTTATAAAAATAACTGTTGAATATCTATACCCAATACTTTGATAACATTCTAATATTGTTTGGTTTTTGAAAATGTACAAATACTATAGCCATTGAACAAATAATATGAATCAGCAGACTAAGTAAGAGATAAGATTTACTTATCTAGCTCAGATGTTTATCTTGCATTATAGCCTTGACTTGTATATATTTTTGTATCTTCCCTCCACATGTCACCTCCATTTTCTAAAAGTTCTTTTATAGTTCTTGTGGTTAATCATGGCTCTCCAATTCCCTCTCACCTCTAGGGATGCTCTCAAGCTTGTCCAGTTGAAACAGACGGGCAAGATCCCTGAGTCCAGACCGACCCCAGCCCCTCCAATAACCCCCGCTGCACCTTTGCCCTCACAGGCCACCACTGGGCCATCTTATCCCCGGCCGATGATCCCACCAGTGTCAACTCCTGGACAGCCTAACGCAGCGGTAATGTCATCTGAGTAGATTTTTATTTTTCAGATTTAAGTGGGAGAGAAAATAAGTACTATTACTGTACGTTTTACAAGTAGTTTTAGCAGCCGCTAAAAGTGATCAAGACAGAACTCTCCAAATGCTCTGTATTGCAGATTTCCTAGGACAAATCAAATTCATTTGGACAGTGCTCACTTACAAAAGGAACATTAGAATTATAATTCGGCTTGTATTTACTACGAGTTCCACAACTTCAGTGCCATACATAGGCTCTATAATCATGACACTCTCGGGTCTTTTGCCTTGGGTGCGGCACCAGTAACCGGTAGCCGGCACCAGCTCCCTTTGTAGATGTGTTTTATTTTTCGATGAAGGAAATTGATGGTCTTACCATGAAGAACCACAGAGACCGGAGCTAATCGTGTTTTTCTTCCGAAGTACATACAGTGTAACGGTCCTTTTTTCTTTTCAAACTGCTCCAGTTTCCTTGTCCGTCTTCCTTGCCTAGGTTTCATGTCACTTCCTTCCCATCAGAAGAAGTGCAGGATAACCTGGTTTATTTAAAGTTGAATGGGCACTTAAAAAATAAATAAATAAACAGAGACAAGCCTACGCTGCTGTTTCTAATGGAGAGATGTATTTTAACATAATATTTTTAAAAGAATTGAAAACAGTACAAGTTTCATGGGAAACAGATTTTTTTAATATACATTAATGATTTATGACTACATACGCAAAAAATGTATGTGTAATAAAATCTTACTTCTTTAAATAGTAAGTTACTCAGCCCTAGCTGGTGTGGCTCACTGGATTGAGCACTGGCCTGCAGAACCAAGGGCTGGCTGTTTCAGTTCCCAATCAGGGCACATGCCTGGGTGGTGGGCCTCCAGTAGGGGGCGCGTGAGAGGCAACCACACATTGATGTTTCTCTCCCTCTCTTTCTCCCTTCCTCCCTCCCTCTCCGTCTAAAAGTAAATAAATAAAATCTTTTTTAAAAATTAGGAAGATAAACCTTACTTTCAAATTCTTACTGTATGTAGATATGCTTTGATCAAGTACTTTGTTAACCTAAAACATTTGATTCCAGAAGAGTGCATTTGTTAAAAAAGGAATCAGCTGTATTTTCTGCATCTTTGTATTGTCCTGAGGTGATTGTAAGCCAGTCCCAGAATGGTGCGAAGAACAGAAAAAGAATTAGATGTAATTTAAGGTCCATCATAGTTTTGTTAGAAGTTCAAAGAAGAGAATGGAGATACTACAGTAAAATCACAGGGAGATTTAGTTATCTCATTCATACTTTATATTTTGAATTTTTAGGAAATAAGATACTTGTGTGATTATTTTTAAAGAAAATGACAAACCAAAATAGAAATAATGTGGTAGATTATCAAATATATTAGATTATCTTTTTCTACTGTAAGCTATTTTTATAAATAAGAATCGTTTTTAGTTAGTTTGTTGATATATTGGCTGCTTTGAGTGTTACTAAGAAATGATGTCACAAGCTGGTTTCAGGTGGCATCTCTGCAGTGTGTGTGGGCATGCACCCACATCCATGGGGAATTGTGCATGATTTGTGAGGTTTTTTTAAGTAATCTTAAGTAATCTTCTTATGTCATTTGGTATGACATAAGAAGCCCCATTTACAACTGAAACTTGAATTTTTCCACTTTTTTCTACAGTCATAAGCTATGAAGTTTTTTCTACAGTTTTATACCATAACAGTAAAACTCAGATTTCTTACATTGTTTCTTATACTAAGAATTTTTAATAGTACTTTTTCTATATTAATCTTTAATTATTAATTATTATCATAAGTAACTGAGACCTGATTTCTCTTACAAAGGTTTTTTTTTTACCCCTTCCATTTATGGTTTAATGGACAGATTGTTATTTCTTTACAGGGCACCTTCACTGAAATCCCGGCAAGCAATATTCGAAGAGTTATTGCCAAGAGGTTAACTGAATCTAAAAGTACTATACCTCATGCGTATGCTACTGCCGATTGTGACGTTGGAGCCATTTTAAAAGTTAGACAAGATCTGGTCAAAGGTCAGTAAAGTTGAATTTACTTAATGCAATACACATGCTATCATGAAATCCTTTATTTATAAAATGCACATTGTGTAGCTTTTAATTTCAGTTTTATCATCTGGGCATGTTTTAGGGCTGGAGGAAAGAATTGGTTTTCTTTTCCTATAAGAAATAAATTGGTTTAATAGTATTATAAATACTACTTTTCATCCTTTCTGTATGAATAAATCATACTTTTTGGTATTCTACATATCCGAACAAAGCAGTCCTTAACATTTTAGAAAGTATAAAATCCAAAACTGGTTTAAGAATGTTTTAGATTATAAATATGTCTTAGATACCACTCTTCTTGATACAAGTTTTAATTTTTTAACTTCTTCAGAATGCATTTTAGGTTATTAAGCTTGAAGTGTTTTTAAGGTTGCTGACAAACATAAGAATTTTTAGCATAAAGTGATACATCATTACTTTCCAATATATACGGCTTTTATTTTATTTTCTTGCGTTACTGTGCTGTACAGGGTGTCCGTTACAGCGATGAATGTGAGTGGTCATAGCAGACAGGCTTGCCTTATTCTTGATCTTGGAAGAAAGCATTTAGTGTTTAATGTTAGCTGTAGGATTTTGTAATTTCCTTTCTCAGGCTGAAGAAATTCACACTTGGATGGGTGTTGGATTTTGTCAAATGCTTTCTGTGTATCTTTTGAGATAATCTTTCCTTTTTCTGTTAATATGGTAAATTTTATTGGTTGATTCCTAAATAGTGAATTTGTTTATATGAGTGATTGCTTGTAATGAGTGAATAAAACTCATTTGATCATTAATTTTCTCATAATTGCCTGATTCCATTTTCTAAAACTTTCTGAGAACCTTTACACTTGTGTAGATGAGAAATTCCAATCGTAGTTTTCTTCTGTTGACATACTTTTGGGTGGGGGGGGGGTTGGGGGGTTGTTATCAGGTCTAACAGAATGAGTTGGGAAATTTTTTCCCCTCCATTATTTTCTGGAAGAGTTTAGGTAGAATTGGTTTTATCTCTAATTGTTTGGTAGAATTTCGCAGTGAGACTACTTAGGCCTCTGATTTTCTTAATGAGAGGATTTTTAACTCGAATTTACTTTTTAAAATAGATGTGAGTTATCTATTTCTTCCTCTTTTTTTAAATTAAATTTCTCCCTGAATCATCTTTGGTAGTTTGTCATCCAAAAAATCTGTTATGTCATCTAAGTTACTGATTTATTGGTATAAAGTCATTTGGTACCTTATTATACTCAGAACGTCTGTGTAATCTGCAGCGATGTCTCCATTTTCGTCATGACTAGTTTGTGCCTTCTGCTTTCTGGAGCACTCTGGCTAGAGGGTCATCATTTTAGTGATCTCTTCAAAGAGCCAGCATTTGATTTCATCTTACTGTTTTTCTGTAATTTTGTTTTAATGATCTCTGCTCTGATTTTTATTTTCTTGTATTTGCTTTAGTATAATTTGTTTCCCTTTTTATAGTTTCATAAGGTGACAATTGAGATCAATATAAGAAACTTTATTCCTAACAAAAGCATATAATGCTTTTTTAGGTTCTCTGTGAGCAATGCTTAACTGTATCACACAAGTTCTGGTGTTTTTATTTTCTCTTTTCACTGAATTCAAGATATTTTCTAATTTCACTTGTGATTTCTTATTTGATCCATGAATTATTTAGACATGTCTGTTTGATTTCCAAATATTTGGGGACTTTCTGTTATTTTTTTTTTATGAATTCTCTAGTTTAACTCCATTGTGTTTGGAGAATACACTTTATGTGATTTACATCTTAAATGTGTTGAGATTTATTTTACAGTCATAATAGGGTCAAGTTCATTGAATATTTCATGAGTATTTGGGAAGAATGTGTGTTCTACTTTTGTTTTGAGAAGTGTTCTGTAAATGGCAGTTGAAGAGTTTACAATATGTGGGCAAAAGTAAGTTTACAATTGTGAGTATACAAAGCTCGAAATTTATTTTTGTATTATTATAATCATAACCTGTATGCCTTTTTCCATATGAACAGCGGTGAGCCTACTTTTGCCCACCCTTGTATAATCTTTTAACCTGTCACAGGCTGCCTTCACATTTTAACTACAGCACTTCACATATAATGTAAGAAACTTGTAGTTTCACTATGTTTCCTTTCTCTTGTCCTGTATACTATGATTTTTGTGTTTTACTTTTACAAATGATGTAAGCCCCAGAATATGTGCATGATGTGTTTTACTTTAACAAACCAATCTAATTTCATTTTCTGACACTGTCCTCTGCTGTGTTAAGCCTGCGAAGCTTAAAAAAGCAGTCATTTATCTTTGAGATTGCGTGGTTCCCCCTGCATTTCCATTTGAATGTCTGTATAGTCTGCATCTCCCTGCTGACGTTCCCTACCTGCTCGTGCTCCTCGCACTCTGGCCTGCACTTTCTGTGCCCTGCAAGTAGTTAATCAAGACTTTGCTCGCCTTTCCTCAGAGGGGATATCACGCTTTGCCCTTCAGTTCACCCGTCTGCTCCGTCACCTCAGCTCCCTAGTGAGCTCAACAAAGTTATGGTTTTGTAGTTCATCCCAAGTGTGCTCCTACCCTGTTAGGCTGGGGCAACTTTCTCTTGCTGCATCCACTGTCCCAAGTGAAAGCAGGAGTGATAATATCACTTTAGGTACAGATTTTCAACATTGCATATGAAGATAACCTAATAGCTCTTAAAAGTTCAAGGAACCAAATGGGAAGTTACTTCAGAGAAAGTGATTAATATTCAGAAAGTTAACGCTGGAAGGTCCCCTTGTAGGTCTGAAATCATACTTGTTTAGTTATGATGTGGAGGTTACTATGAGAATAATTTTCTTGGCTCCTTTAATGCAACAGGAAGCAGTAGTCTGTCAGGAGCACTGTAGATCAGTGTGTAGGATCTTTCCATGAGACTTTGTATGTCCTTGCAGTGAGGAGTTCTGTGGTCAGTCTCCAAAGAGTCCATGTTGTCTGTTTGTCCTGTGTATCTTCACTCCTCTTTCCTTAGATAGGGTTATAGCATATAACATTCTGTAAACATGTTGCACACTTTGTTTTGTAACTGTGCAAATGAGAATGTCCACTATTCCCCCACAAACTGTTTTCTACTCTCTTCTTTTCAACAAATGCCTCTGACAGGCTCCTCTCTGTATGTTTGAAAATTGCTGTAGTAACGAGTTACAATAAAGGAACTTGAAAAACGTAGCCTTTGCACATGATCAATTTGAGATGCGTATTAGACATGTAGGTGGAAATATCATGGGAAAAATCAGATGTATAAGTCTGAGGCTCCAAATAGGTCAGGATTCGAGGTAGAATTTGGAGGAATCACCATGTGAGTGGTATCAAAAGCACGGAACTGAAAGTGCTCACCTGGAGACATGCCAGCCTTCAGAGGAAGAACCCGACAGTGAGTGAGCCACAGGGAGTGGAAAGAAAACGGATTAGAGTGACGAAGAACCAGTGAGAGAAAGTAGATGGAAAAGGTGTCCAGCCAAAGAACACGACATGTTGCAGAGTGTTTGGGGTGGAGAAGTTTAGGTGGGGACTGTGGGCTTCGGTGGTGGGTTTAGAAATCATGGGCGGGTAGCTGGTGTAGAAAGTCTTCTCTGGATACCTGTGGATAGTAGACGAAGCAAGAAGGAAGCTGAGTGAGCCATGAAAGATAAATATAGTGAATTTGTAGAAGACTATGTCTGTGTGTCTGAATTTGTACAGACCAAGTCTTTTGTATGATTTGTCATTAGAAGTCTGAGCACTGGAAATCCGTTTATATTTCTGTTCCTAAAAGGTTTCTAAAGAAACAGAATGTGTGTATGTTCTTGGAAATCTGGACCGAAAGAGCTGTGAATTAAACAAGCAGATGACAGTTGCCATGGCAGTTTGACAGTATTTATGGTAACTCATCTAATCTGTCTCTGAAGTCTTCCGAGCGCCTTTGGGGTGCGCTGTGGTTCACACAGAGTTCCAGGGTACCGTAATCAAGGATTTGGGGTTCCTGCTGTGTGCCATTGACTGCATCTTGATCTTACAGCTTCTTCTGGAAGCTTTTGCAATAAAGAATCAAGTACAGTTTACAATTGCCACCACTTTCATATCCACTGGGAAAAGCCAAAGTATAAATCAAATGCTTTAGTTATATGATCTCTGTGGGAAGGGAGAGGTCCTCAGCTTTATCTTAAAATCATTATGTGCACTGCACTGAAATTAATTCAAATGGATTCACCAGAAAACCTCATATTTAGTTATTACACTAGGACCTACACCCACATTGCCTCATCTTTGGCATTTGCTCTATATTCTTTTGTTAAGTTAACAAGCAGATCTTATTTAATGCAGTGGTCTAAAATTGTTGTCGTATACCCAATTAGTAAAAAGACATTTTTTAATTTGTCCCAGATACATTTTTTAAGTGACTATGTGTACCACAGCTCTAATAGAATCAGTATATTATAAAGCATACGCAGAATAAGGACATTTGAAAAGGATAAGAAAACAGTGAATTATCTTGTAAACATCCTGTTTATACATCACAGAGAAATCATTTGTCTCTTCAGAAGCATAGGAATTGGTTCTTTGCTTTCTGTGTGAGGATATAATATATCCGTCAAGTTCTTATGTGTGATATCTGAGATATTTAAAGAATTATAATCAAGCCCCCAAAGTAAATTTTTTTCATTATATTTGAATATGCTGTTAGAGTTACCCCAATTGTTTCCTCCTTGTCCCTCTCCACCCAGCACCACCCACTCCCTCAGGCAATTCCCCCACCATTGTTCATGTCCAGGGGTCATACATATAAGTTCTTTGCTCCATTTACTGTACCGTACTTTACATACCAATGGCTATTCTGTAACTACCTATTAATACTTCTTAATCTCATCACCTCTTCACCCATTCTCCCCCCTCCCTCCCATCTGGCAACGATCAAAACACTGTCTGTATCCATGATTCCGTCTCCGTTCTTCATGATTGCTTAGTTTGTTTTTGGATTCAGATGTTGATAGATATGTATTTTCACCATTTTATTGTTTGTAGTTTCGATCTTTTTTTCTTAAATAAGTCCCTTTAACATTTCATATGATGGTTTGGTGATGATGTACTCCTTAGTTTTTTCTTGTCTGGGAAACTCTATCTGCCCTCCCATTCTAAATGACAGCTTTGCTGGGTAGAGCAATCTTTGCTATGGGCCCCTGCTTCATGATTTTAAATATTTCTTGTCAATCCCTTCTAGCCTACAAAGTATCTTTTGAGAAATCAGTTGACAGTCTTATGGGGAACTCCCTTGTAGGTAACTAACTTCTTTTTTCTTGCTGCTTTTAAGGTTCTCTTTTTATGTTTAACCTTTGGCATTTTAATTTGATGTCTGGGAGTGGGCCTCTGTGCATCCATCTCATTTGGGACTCTCTGTGCTTTCTGGACTTGCATGTCTGTTTCCTTCACCAAATTAGGGAAGTTTTCTTTCACTATTTTTTCAAATACATTTCCAATTTCTTTCTCTTTTCCTTCTGGCACCCCTGAGATATGAGTGTTGGACCTTTTAAAGTTGTTCCAGATGCTGCTTATATTATCCTCATTTTTTATTCTTTTTTTCTTTTTCTTGTTCTGATGGATTGCTTTTTGCTTTTTTTAAATAAATATATATATTTTTTTAAGATTTTATTTATTTATTTTTAGAGAGAGGAAGGGAAGGAGAAAAACATCAATGTGTGGTTGCCTCTTACACACCCCGCACTGAGGACTGGGCCTGCAACACAGGCATGTGCCCTGACTGGGATTCGAACTGGTGACCCTTTGGTTCGTAGGCCGGCACTCAGTCTGCTGAGCCACACCAGCCAGGGCTGTTTTTTGCTTTCTTACATTCCATATCATTGATTTGATTCTTGGCTTCATCCACCCTACTGTTGTTTCCCTATATATTGTTCTTTATTTCATTAGTGTATCCTTCATTTCTAACTGGACCTTTTTTATGCTGTTGAGGTCCTCACTCTGTTCCTTGAGCATCCTTAAGGAACCAGTGTTTTGAACTCTGTCCGACAGAGTGCTTATCTCCATTTCATTTAGCTCTTTCTCTGGAGTTTTGATCTGTTCTTTCATTTGGGCCATGTTTCTAAAATAAAGAAATGATGGCTCTTCTTTATTTGAGTTGTAATTTTGATGTGGTTGTGCAGAGAGGCAAGCCATGTCTGCCTCTGCCATTATCTTGACCAGAAGTTGAAAAGTAAACTTTTATATACATAGTTAATACTGTTTATCAAGGGCCTCCTATAGCGCAAGTTTTTCTAATCAGCAGAACCTTATTGAATAAGCAAACCAATAAAAACCTGTAATGTTTTTTATCAGTGTTTGTCAGTATAGTCCATAATTTACAAGTTTGAAATCCTAATGGTCGACGGTAAAGTCTATTATGAGCAATAATTTTAATATGCCCGTTTTTCTTCCAGATGACATTAAAGTCTCAGTAAATGATTTTATCATCAAGGCAGCAGCTGTTACCCTGAAAGTAAGTAGCAAACCCCAGTAATTTCGGCTCCTCAAGTAGTCTCACATCTTTCATTTTTTTTAACTCCTCATCTGAGGACATGTTTATTGATATCAGAGAGAAAGAGAGAGGAGGGGAGGAGAGAGAGAGGAAAACATCGATGTGAGAGAGAAACATCAGTTGGCTGCCTTTCGTATGCACCCTGGCCAGGAATCAAACCCACACAGCCCTTTGGTGTATGGGACAGTACTCCAGCCAACTGAGCCAGCCAGCCATGACACATCTTTAAATTTTTATATAATAAATGGAACTCGTTTTTAAGGCACAAACATTTTGTAATTTTATTGCTAGAATCATTCTATCATTTAATCTCCCTTAGTTTTACAGATGAAGAAACTGAGAGTCAGAAGGGCTTACCACTAATGAGTCATAGCAGAATAAAGACCACTTATTCAACAGATACTAATTGATCCCCTAGCTTGTGCTAAAAATGTGCCAGGCATTAGAAATGTTGTAGTGAACAAAAGCCTACATATTTCCATGCTCTCATTTTTGTGCACCATTTTCTGTCATGCCTTTGTGTAAATGAGGCTGCTTTTCTGTATAACTGCTTAGTAATTGCTATATTTTAAAGTACATTTATAAAGAATTTATTGAACAGTTAAATAAGAGAGAATTTAAAGGCATGTGTCTTCACCTGCTCATATCTAAATGCTCATTTTGTCTATGACCAAACATTTTGAATTACAGTAATGATTTTCTAATTATGAGTTATTCTTGCCTCCCTTAAGTAGACATTAGCTGTTTGTCAGTATTTCATCTCATAATTTTGTGTCAGGAGCCATAGTTAATTTTAATTTAAATTTTCTGCTAGGTCTTTTAGGATTTTCCTTTTTGTTTTTTAATCAGTGGCTTTGTTAAAATGAATTTGGTTACTTTTTTCATCCCTTTCTTTGGGATTGTTTCAATATTGTAAAGATTTTTAGTTCTCGAGGTTTTGTAGGATGCACCAGTAAAACTATCTTAGTTCTATATTGAGGAGGGAGCATTGGCACCTTTCTCATTTTTTACCCAAATTATTGAGCTGTTTAATTTTCAGCTTTTTAAAAATCAGTCTGGAAACTGATATATTCCAAGAAAATCATTTATTTCATCTAGATTCCCAAACTTATTAGCCTAGAGTCATTTAAATTTGCCTCTTATAATTAAGTCAGTGTCCTCAGTGCCTGGGGGTTTTCTGAACTCTGTCTTGCTTTTATTTCATGTTTATGTTCTCACTCTTTTTATATTTCATTATATATTCCCTCATTTACTTAGGTTTATTTTGGTTAGAGTTTTGGGTCTTTTTTTTTTTTTTTTAAGAAAACTTGAATGTTTAATTAATTACAGTTATATTTTACTAATAAGATTATTTAGATTATAAATTTTCCTTTGAGTAAAACTTAGGTTATGTCCCATAGATTTTTGTTACATAGCTTTCTAATTAAATTTATTTTTCAGATACTCTTCATTTGTTAGGGTTTTTTTCTCTTTCACTTTACCATTATCTCTAAACAATTTAAAATCTTCTAAGAGATTGGGCCGTCATTGTTTATTATTTTGACATAATGGGATTGTTGAATGAATGAGCAGAACCCTGAAAGATGGGGAAGTGAAATGAGCAATTGAAAACAGATGAAATGGAAATGAGCAGAGCCTGGCAGTGAGAGGCCTGAGTGGAGCGGGGATTCACTGTCGGGGCTGGTCAGAGCTCGGATTAGGTAAGGAGGTGAAATCCTGTTGACGGATGGCTCTGTTACAGTACATGTGGAGAGGCATGGATCTTACTCAGCAGGAAGCAAACAGACTTGAGAAGAGAAATTTGGTTTCGATACCTATTTTTTGAGCATCATTTTCTGCTATGATATTTGACAGTATTATTATTGCACGTTATTTCCAGGCATTTAATCATTTCATCTGGTTTTTATCTTCCATGTAGTTTGTATGTATATTAAATATCTACACATACATGTATAGGGTATATAGGATGTTGATAAAGCTGGAAAATCTTCCTTAAATACAGAAGTCATTTATTAATGGCCTGCTGATATTCCCCAGGGCCACGCTAGGAAGTCAGGCTCCCTTCACGCCCCTGGAGTAATGTGGATGAACGGCGCTGCCCTCTTCCCTCGCCTCTTTCTTCTCAAGGTCATGTTGGTCAAACACTGAGGCAGGAAGTAGAGCAAATGTCAGTTATCATGTTTTGCCGTATGTAAGGTGCTCCTGTGTATAATGCACACCGATGTTTTGTCCCAAACTTTCAGGAAAAACATCTTTTGTTTTAACTTTTTAATTCAATTATTTATTTATTTATATTTAGATACTTGATTTTTATAGTACAAAGGAATTTTAGCATTTATTTTTGAACATATTATGGTACAAGAAATTTTATGTAACAAATGCACAAAAACAGATACAAAGTATTTAAGGTACTACTTACGTATAGTGATCATCCTTATTTTTCCCTCAAAAATTTAGGCAAAAAAGTGCATATCCACAGCAAAATACGGTACTTTTTAGCAATCGGGTTTAACAGTGGAATCCTTTTTTTTACCATGATACAAAGAGACCAAAATATGGACATCATCAGAATTTCTTACATCATCAGAATTTCTTCAGACTTGCTTCAAAAAGATAGTATGCTGAATTATTTGTCCCCAATGTAAAAGATACTAACACAGAGATCCAGTCCATTTTTTACACAGAATTTTCATTTCCCTCTGTCTAGCTATATTCACTTTCAGATATGCATAATAGGATTAGTTATTTTTCTGTAATCACTTCGGTCTAAAGCTGCTTCTTTAGTAGCATTTTTTTTCTATTTCTGTTTTCTAGCAAATGCCAAGTGTTAATGTCAGCTGGGATGGAGAGGGCCCAAAGCAACTGCCTTTCATTGACATTTCAGTGGCTGTGGCAACAGATAAAGGTTTAATTACACCAATCATAAAAGATGCTGCTGCTAAGGGCATACAGGAAATTGCCGACTCTGTGAAGGTATGTCTTAAGAAATTCTGTAAAACTGTTGGAATTTGTTTTCTGAGTAAGTCTTGACACGACCTGGTCACTTATGATTGATACAGTATGCATATATGTGTATATAATTGTATATTTATATATACAGTTACATGTGTGTGTATGTACGTGTGTGTGTATGCACTTCAAATGATTGTCATTTGTGGATGTGGAGTTTTAAATTTTTATTCAGGCATGACCCAGCTTACAAATACTTCAAAACTTCAGAAATAACATACAGATAAATTATGTTCACGTTGTAAGTGAATGCTTTACTTACCGAAGTCTAGAATTCAATTTAAAGGATGGTAGTTTAGACAGTTAAAGCTGAAACTATATTTCTTTAAAAGGGTAGTAGATAGACCTCACTATTAACATCATTTTATTGTTAAAAGTTTATTCGTTTCCTTTCTGGAATTCAGACCAGTAAACGTACTTTGTATTCCAAAAACAAAAATATTTTCTTTTTCCTAGGTTTCTTTAAAAGCAGTTTCGTAGCTTTAATATAGAAAAGTCTGGTTTGGCCAGAAATACCACATGGAATAAGCAGAATACAGGCAATAGGGCAGCTTTGGCAGCCTAAGTGTGTTTTTTGGTCAGAAATATCATAGTGTTAGTGTTGAAACTTTCAGATGCATTTAGATAAGCGATTCTTTTTTCACTTACCGAGGACCAGCTGTATGCGTAGTGGTAGAACAAGATACAAGGGGGTTTAAAGAGGAGAAGGGAAGATTTCTTTGGGAGCTGGCGGTATGCAACTGTGTGGACCTACCCACCCAAAAATAAATGAACAAGTGCAAGCCTATCTAGTTTAAAAAGCATACTTGTGGAATATTAGAGATAGATATGATTAAAATATAAGATAGATATAAATAAATCACTAAGGTGACCTTAGTAGAATTGTCATTTTAAAACCTTTCCTCACTCGTTCTTGAAAAGATTTGCAAAGTGTGTATTTAGAGGTGACAATTCAAGTGTATTTTGTACTTGAGAGGTGGTATTAATTTGGCCGATTGAAAAGTCAGAGTGATAGAGGCTGGTTTACTAGGCTAGTACATGCTTTGCATTCATCAAGGGTTTTCAGCAGCAGTGAGATTATATGCATTTTAGTGTTTTTGTGAAAGTCAAATGGAATTGAATTTAACTGTGGAGTTAGAATTTTCTTACCTTTATATAAATTTAATTTAAAAAATTTAACAATTATAGGAAGGTTCTTTGATTCTAATTTACCAGCTTTACTACTGTGATAAATAATTCTTTAAGTAGCTATATTAGCATTCTCTCTCCCTTCTATCCTGAAAGAACCGAAGTTGGGGGGGGGGGGTAAGGAAGCAGCTTCCCTGCCATGGGAGGGACAGTCCTAACCCTTTACGGTGTCCCGGGGCCTCTGGCAGTCCTTGGTGCCCCTGCAATTCCCAGCGACTCGAAGGTTTGCTGTGCTCTGGCTACTCACCTGTACTTCTCATTCTACTGCTTCTCTCTCCCACCCTGCTGTCTGTGATCAGCACTCCACTCTTGTTCTTATGATACACCAGACACTAGACTTAGCATTTCATACGATGCTGTTGGCCCAATATTATAGCTGGAACCTAAACGTCCCCATTTTAAAATTGAGGAAACTGAGTTTAACACCTTTAAGAAATTTTTCCCAAAGTGATGCACTTAGAAAGTGGTGAAGTGGGGATTTGTTTAAATCCAGGCATTCCTCATTTCAAATGCCATTTTCTTAGGCCTTCTGTGGCTTCCATAGCTAGAATACCTTCCTACATTAGCTTGTTTTATTGTCTTCATTGGCTTCTCAGTCTTTTCTCTTAAAGATTTTATTTTTAGATAGAGGGGAAGGGAGGGAAAAAACGGTAGAGAAACATCAGCGTGTGGTTGCCTCTCATGCACCCCCTCCCTGGGGACCTGGCCTGCAACCCAGGCATGTGCCCTGACTGGGAATGGAACTGGTGACCTTTTGTTTTGCAGACCAGTGCTCAATCCATGGAGCCACAACAGCTAGGGCTGGCTTATCAGTCTTTGAAATTACCTCATTTGTTGACCCTTCTATGTACCTTTCTATCTCATGTCGACTGTCTTGTTCACTGCCATATATCCAATTCTAGAAGGGAGCTTGGAAGATACTAACTACTCAGTGAATCTTTAAAAATATTTAATAAACACTTACTGAAGTTAATTTTCCAAGAAGTTTGTAGGTCCCTGTAAATGCATCCATGAACCCCAGGTTAAGAACACCTGCGTTAAGTATTTACTTCCTTGTCTCAAGGATGTCAATGCGTGGTGTTAAAGATATGTATGTCTCAACCAAGTTCAAGTTTATATTCCCTAAGTAGAGTAATACAGTAACAAGCCATAGATCCCACACTGTTCTTAATTCCTCATTAATTACAGCAGAGGTAGTGCTATGCTGTGGCATGGTGCATGCAAGGGGCTGCTGCCCGGACCACCGGCTGGCCTTGGGCAGAGGAAGAGGATGGGAGAGAGAGAGAAACATTAATCAGCCGCCTCCCACATGTTCCCTGAATGGGGACCAAACCCACAACCCAGGAAAATGCTAAACTTCTGTTAGAAATTAGGGGAAATCTTCAGTTAGAAGATAGCTTCAGAGTCCCTGGACCTCAGGAAAAGAACACCTCGCCTAGGCTCCATAAGGCGTCCTTTAGAGGCAGCCACTGGATTTCTAAGAAACATCTGGTTGGATTGGCCATTATTGTGCTCTTCCTACTTTTGGGGATAGCCATCTGTGTTTCTTTGAATCCAGTGATGTCAGATTAAGAGACTTCTGGCCAAGATGGAGGCATAACTAAACACGCTTTGCCTCCACACACAACTACAGCAAAAATTACAACTGGACTACAAAAACATCACCCAAATTTGTCAGAAAATCGAGCTGTATGGAAGCCCAACAACCAAGGATTTTAAAAAGCTACATTCATCCAGATGGGTGCCTTTTCTACAATAAGCCACTTACTCTCCTCTACTAAGACAGGGAGTCAAAGCAGCTCTACCTAATACACAGAAACAAACACAGGGAGGCTGCCAAATTGAGGAGACAAAGAAATAAGGCCCAAATGATAGAACAGAACGAAACTCCAGCCAAAGAAGTAAATGAAATGGAGATAAGCAACCTATCAGATGCATAGTTCAAAACACTGGTGATCAGGATGCTCAAAGAAATCATTGGGTCCTGCAACAGCATAAAAAAGACCCAGGCAGAAATGAAGGTTGCATTAAGTGAAATAAAGAAAAATCCACAGGGAACCCATAGTGGATGGGATGAAGCTGAGATTCAAATCAACAGTTTGGAACTGTTGATTTGAAGAATCAGGAAGAAAAAAACGTTCAATCAGAATAGCAAGAAGAAAAAAGAACTCAAAACGAGAATAGAATAAGGAGCTTCTGGGACATCTCTAAACATACCAACATCCAAATCATAGGGATGCCAGAAGGAGAAGAGGAAGAGCAAGAAATTTAAAACCAACTTGAAAAAATAATGAAAGAAAACGTCCCTAATTTGGTGAAGTAAATAGACATACAAGTCCAGGAAGCACAGAGAATACCAAAGAAGATGGACCCAAAGAGGACCACACCAAGACACATCATAACTAAAATGTCAAAGGTTAGAGATAAAGAGAGAATCTTAAAAGCCGCAAGAGAAAAGGAGACAGTTACCTACAGAGGAGTTCCCATAAGACTGTCAGCTGATTTCTCAAAAGATACTTTACAGACTAAAAGGATCTGGCAAGAAGTATTCAAAGTGATGAAAAGCAAGGACCTACAGCCTACATTATTCTATCCAGCAAAACTATCATGTAGAATTAAAGGGTAGATAAAGTGCTTTCCAAACAAGGTAAAACTAAAGGAGTTCATCATCACCAAGCCATTATATGAAATGTTAAAGAGAACTATATTAGAAAAAGATCAAGACTATAAACATTAAAATGGCAACAAATGCACAACTATCAACAACTGAATCTTAAAAAACAAACTAAGCAAACAAGCAGAACAGGAACAGAATCATAGATATGAAGATCATTTGGAGGGTTATCAGCTGGAAGGGGGAGAATGGAGGAAAAGGTGCAGGGGTTAACAAGTACAAATTGGTAGGTCCAGAATAGGCAGGGGGAGGTTAAGAATAATATAAGAAATGGAGAAGCCAAAGAACTTATGCATGCCCATGGACATGAACTAAGAGGCTGGGGGGAATTGCTGGAGGGAATGCGGATACCATGCCTAGGAGGGCAAAGAAGGAAGAATTGGAACAACTGTAATAGCAAAATCAATAAAATACACCTTTCAAAAAGGCAGAGGTAAAGTTACCTCATTAGTACTCAGTACAGTTTTTGAATGAATTACTAAGGCATGTGATGTATTTTAGAAATATTTGCTCGTCATCTTGTATCACGTGCTTTCAGCTAGATGCTTCAGGTAACAGCTGCTTTATTTTAAGTTCCTATTTTCACATGACCAGGAAAATTCGGCAAGAATTCCTTAGGAATTTTTTAGAACCAATGATCCTCCTCAGGTTCTATTTTTATTTTAGGCTCTTAGGGCTCATTGACAGGAACATTCTGCTGATGTAGTTTGGGTTTACAGAATTTATTTTTAAAGTGTAGTAAAATAAATACACTTTTTGTTTGTTTTTGTGTGGTATGGGTATGTGGAGGTCATCCGCCATGGAAAAAATGCCTTTCAGAGTCCATGTGACGTGTGGCTGTTCAAATCATGTGAACAGTTGTGTTGCTTAAGGCAGGAAAAATGCATCTGTAGATTGTTCTCTCTACCTCTGTTATCTCACAGACTATATGAGTCTGTATGCTCATTCTTCATTTTGGTGTCAAGTAGCTTTCGTAAGTAACTATGTCCAAGTAGTATGAATCTGTAGGTATGTCAGTTGCACTAGTCATGTGATGATACATTGAGATGTTTTTAGATTTGTAAAGAATGTTTTAGTTTTCAAAGTTGAAGTCACCTGTGGTTTAAAATTAGCTATTAATGGTGGTTACAGCTACTTCTGTTAGCTGTATAATGCAGGACATCAAATAAGCCCTGGTTTAGTTTATCTATTCAAATGACAACAGCTTTATTCTCTTAATAAAATAACTCATTACTAATTTTTCAGTGTAATGACTCAGCCTGTGTTTCCTTATTTTGGAAGCATTGAAAAATAAAAATGAGCATAAGTGGGTTAATTGCATGCAAGTAGAGAAAAATTGAATGACTTTCCTTAAATTCACTCTTAGGGTATCTTCTGCCTTTCTCTCTGTCAGTTTTTAGAAGTCGGTATTGTCAAGAGTGATAAAAAAATTACTACACTCTGTATTACACTCTGAGTTGGACTAGCTCATCCAGGAAATGCGTTAGCTGTAGGATCAAGAACCAAAATAATGTCCATTTTCTGGGGCTTAGGAATTCCACTTCTGAGAACTTCTGTGAAATCACTGAAAAGAAACCAGTGAACCAAATTATGACACTGGCGAAATGACTAAGTAAATCCCGGCAGGTACAGTCTGTAGAATGTTAAGCAAACATGAAAAATTGTTTATAAAGGCTTAGCAGCATAGAAGATGCTTATATTGAAAAGTGAGGTAGAAAGGTCTGGGGTTTTAACAACTTTCTGAACTTGTGTTTGTGTTATGGATGAAAAAGAGGCAAAAGTTGAAAGACAAAATCTGATATGTTGGTTGTGGATTTGTTGCTGTTGCATAGTTTATATAAAGTATTAGATGAACAAGAATGGCTTCTTCTAATATTTTATCTCCTAAGAAAAATAGAAATATTGGAACATTCTGCATACTAGTGGGGCATAAGGTAATTCCAATATTTGAAGAATTTTTAGAGGAAAGTGATTTTTCTAGAGTTTTGATTCACATCTTTAGCTTCTTTAGGTTATCTGTATTTTATCTTGCCTTTTTAAAAAAAATTAGTTTAGAGAAAACCAAATATACATCTGATAAAGTCAAATCAAAGCATTTAAGAGCTAAGACTGTACCCTGTACAAATATTTCAAATGACAACCTGTACACTGTATAACACAGTCTTACGTGACACACTTCGTTTGTATTTTTCTCAGGCTCTATCAAAGAAAGCAAGAGATGGAAAATTGTTACCTGAAGAATACCAAGGAGGATCTTTCAGGTAAAATTTAAACTCTTAATTATCAGTAGCATCAAAAGGATAGAAGACTTACAAAGCCCATGTTAACCTCTTTTATTTATTTTCTGGAACTCTTTAAAAATTTAAGATAAATATCACATGCTGTATTTTGATAACAGAATATGTGAAGATAGTCTTCAGATGAATCAGATTTTCATATCAAAGCTAGTAGGAACCCCTTAGGGTTAGCTAGTTAACTCATTCAAATGTTCGTAGAATAACATTCAGAGGTTGCTGTTGATATTTAAAAATATATCAGTACAGTAGATTTATAAACCTCAAGTGTATGTTTTTTCTGCTGTGCTTTCTCATGTTAAGGTACCTTGGGGAAACATATTAACACTTAGGCCCATAAATTAGTACCAGCTCTATTTTTAAGTGTAACTTACACACAATAAATTGCACTTAGTGTAGCTCGAATGTTTTATAAAATAAAAAAATTTGTGCAGCCAACCAAAGCAGGATATACTTCCTCTGCCCTTCCATCCTCTTAAAGGTGACCACTTTTCTCAAAATAGACTTGCTTTGCTAGCTTTGATCTTTGCATAAGTACACATTTTTTTGAAATCCTCACCCAAGGGTATGTTCTCCTGTTTAGAGAGAAAGGAAGGGAGACGGTGAGAGAGAGAGAGAAACATTGATGTGAGGGAGAAGCCATCAATCAGTTGCCCCCTGCACATGCCCCCATAGGGGATTGAACCCACAGTCCCCTACGGTATACAGGTACTGAGACACCCATCCAAGGCTACGCGCACATTCTTAGTGTCTGGCTTCTTTCACTCAACATTAATGTCTGTGAGATCAGCCATGTTGCTGTGTGATGTGGTTATTTATCTGTTTTCATTGTGGTGTCTTATATTCTGTAGTGTGTTGTAAAAACATGCCAGTATCCATTTACTGTTGGGCATTTATGGTATTTATAGAGTTTAGTGCTATAACAAATAATGGTGCCATGAACATCATTTTATTAGTGTCTTATGATGACTGTACATATTTTCATTGTATACACTGAAAGTGGAATTGCTAGGTGAAGAGCTTTAATGGATCCTGCCAAACAGTTTTTCAAAATCCTTACATAGATTTACACTTAACAGTCTATGAGAATTCCTCTTAGGAATGCTAGGTTTTACATTTTAATAGTTCTTAGAGTATGCAGTGGCACTCTTTGTGGTCGGGGGAATACAGTCTGATGATGATGAACACAGTTTTCATTTTTCTCTTAGCCATGCGAGTATCTGGTAACTCATCAGATAAGGTACCTGGTGAAGTCTTGTGTCTATTTTTAAAAATGATTTGTAGGAGTTCTCAATTCCAGATACACAGACCTTTGTAGGACTATTTCAAATAACTTTTCCCACTCTGTGCCTTGCCTTTGGAACTTTTTAAAATTTAATCTTTGTTGTATGTTTTTTTTATCACCATTTAGTTTCTTCATACCCCCTCCTGCCAGTAATCACTGCACTGTTGTCCATGTCCATGAATCCTTTTTGCTCAGTCCCTCCACCCCCTACCCTCCCCCACCGCAATCGTCATCCTGCCCTCCATCTGCGAGTCTGTCCCCTTTTTCCTTGTTAGTTCAGTTTGTTCATTAGATTCCACATATGAGTGAAATCATACGGTGTTTGTCTTTCTCTGACTGGCTTATTTCAGTGAGCCAGATGTTCTCCATGGGACTTTCTTGATGGTGTTTTTTAATAAACAGGTTTTCTGAATTTTAATGAAGTCCTCTTTATCTGTATTTTTCTTTATAGTTGGTCCTTGTTTTCTGCTAGGAATTACTGCCTAAAGAGCCATGAACTTACTCCTCTATGTTGTCTTCTAGAGGCATTAGAGCTTTTCACATTAGGCAGATTATAATCCACCTGAAACCGGATTCTGTGTATTGTGTGTAGGTTTTTTAGGGCCACCTGGTCACTTGTCGTATACACACCAAGCCTTGCTGGGATTTTGACTGGGGCTGCACGGACTCTTGTGGGTAGTTTGAGAGTCGACATGCTCAGAGCAGAGTCTTCCAGCCAGTGACCGTGGCGTAAACCGCTGCGTAGTCAGTGCTGGGACTCCTTTCGGTTGTGTTGTGTGATTTTCTGTGTAGAAGTCTCATAAATGTTTTATTAGACTTATTCCTTGATATGTGTGATATTATTATAAATGGTATTGTTCTTAAATTTTACTTTCTAATTATAGCAGCTTGTATATAGATATAAAAAAATGAATTCTTATTGACCTTTTACCTAGTGACTTAGCTAAATTCACTTACTAATCTGACTAGGTTATCTGTGGAGCCTTACAATTTTCTGTGGATGCAGTCAGTTTATCTGTGAATAATGGCAGTTTTATTATTTTTAGTCCTTGCATCTTACATTTCTTTTTCTTGCCATATGACTGCCTACAACTTCCAGTAGGATGCTGAATAGGTGTTTATATGCGATATAATATCTGTATGTGTGTCAATATTTAATTCGCACTTTTTGAATTCAACAGTATTCACATACTATTGTATGTAACAGTCTTTTGTTATTGGTCTTTGAATGACTTGGTATAAGGTCTGTAGCAGTTTTTCAGTAACGTGAAAATACGTGCTCGGGGAAAGTCTAATCTGAATGACGACATGCCGCCTTCAGAGCTTTTTGTTTTCTCCAGCATTTCCAACTTGGGGATGTTTGGCATCGATGAATTCACTGCCGTGATCAACCCCCCTCAGGCCTGCATCTTGGCCGTTGGGAGATTCCGACCGGTGCTGAAGCTCACGCAGGATGAAGAGGGGAACGACCAGCTGCAGCAGCACCAGCTCATCACGGTCACTATGTCCAGTGACGGTCGACTAGTGGATGACGAACTAGCTACCCGGTTTCTGGAAACTTTTAAAGCAAACCTGGAGAATCCTATTCGGCTGGCCTAGTTCTCAAAGACAGAACTGCTACCCAGAAACATACACTATATTAAAAAAAATTAGGTATTTAAATGTGAAGTGGATGGAATGTTTATTTATTTAAGGTGAAAGTTTGATCTGAGTTGTCTTCATTTTTAAAGTGGGTTTAATGTTGTAGAAATAAATGACAACAAACTCTAACTACAATAATTAAAAAAGAACATTTAGTTAGATCCACTTTTAATCTTGGTGCTGTCAAAGGGAGCATTAAACGAGATGCAAGTTGAATCATATGTTTGGCTCCGTGGAGCATTTGAGAATATTTGAGAATATATGATAAATTGTAAACTCAAAAAATTGTTACAATTCTACTTAATTGTGTTGACATTGGATGTGGTCTCCAAAGAAACACCCACGATTTAGCAGTGGGTCCTCACTTTTACAAGCACTGCTGTAGATATACTTGAACAACTTGATATGTACAGAAGTTTATTCTGGATAACAGTACATAAGGATCACATCGTATTAGGGGTTGCAGCAACATTGTTGAATTTTTTATGTATGTAAAGCCATACACTTTAGAGTGCTTTCTATCAGTCTTGTTTTTTACTCCTGTGACACTGTGAACTTCTACAGAGGAAACCTTTTTAAATCAAAAATGAAGAGAAAGAGACCAAAAAATTGTTTGTTTCAATGGTAAACTGTAGTTTAAATAGTTAAGCCCTCAGAAGTAACTGCTCACCTTCATACTAAATTGGAATGTATTAAAATAAATTATGCTGTTTACTACCAAACATTTTAAGTTAGTGTTGATTTGAACACAAAATGTTTCTTAATGCATCGTAATCAAGTTTGTATTGTGCAATAAGATACGAGCCAATGTAAAAATTTCTGTTGTATTTTAAATGTTAGGGCGCGGAAGTTTAGTCAAACCTTTTTTTAAAAGATTATTTTACTTATTTATTTTTAGAGAGAGAGAAACAGAGGGAGAAAGAGAGGCAGAGAAACATCAGTGCAAGAGAGAAACACCGATCAGTTGCCTCTCGTATGTGCCTGGACGTGGGACCAAACCTGCGGCCCAGGCATGTGCCTTGAGCAGGGATCAAACCAGAGACCCTTTGCTTTGCAGGACGATGCCCAGCCAACTGACCCACGCTGGTCACTTCAGGGCAGTTTAGTGAAACCTCGAAGTATGTTAGTAGTTTCCCTGGAACAGCTCACCGGGGACTCTACAAGAAGAAAGGAGGAATTTGAGATTAATGACCTTAGGAAAATAGTAGATATGGAATGTAAAGAGAGTAGAAAAGAAGGTCTATGAAGCGGGCAAGAACCATCCTTGTTATTCCATTGATGACATGAAATTTATTGTAAAGGTTAGAAGAGTTTCCTTCTTTTAACAACTCTGCTGTTACTGGCAAGACGGTTGTACTGAAGTTGGCTCGTGGTGTCTGCTGACGTGATCCACCTGGGGAAAGACCGTCGGGTCCAAGTTGTGTGGCGGGACGCGATGAACTTCACGCTCGAGGAAGAGAGCAGCACCTCCCAAAGTAATTAGAATGCCAACCTATGAATTGTTAGGAAAATGCTTAATCCAGTTACTGCGTTTTAACAAGCTGTTTTTTAAAAAATAGTCTTCAAAACTTTTCTCATAGGAACAGTTTTCCTAAAAGTTGTAACCAACTACTACTTTTAAAATCACTTATGTGTTAATTACTTTCAGTCAGTTTTAAGTGAAATTATTTTGTTTTGTTGTTTTCCAGTTTTTATACCTAAGGGAAGAGTGCATGAGACAGCCATTAATAACCCTTGGCCAGGGGTTCTGTTTGGTTTCCCATGGGCCGAGGTGCGTGCTCCCTAGTGCCTCTGTGCCCTGTGGTGGGAATGGACATTGACCCTGGATGGAGTTGCCGTGAACTGCACGGGGGCGGGGGCGGGGGGGGGGGGCAACTCAGGATAAGTTTAAGGCCTTTTCATTCTTCGTGGTCATCACAAACAGGCTTTTCATATAATCAGTTTGCTTCTCACAGTTTCACTCCTCAGCTCTTGGTACAAATGCTCGTTCATGCTGACTAGAAAGTATTTTCTCTAATATTTCTATACTGCTTAGTTTTCTGTAAGCAGATTGTAATTTCTGTCAAAAAAAAAAAAAGAATTATCTCTAAGTGCAAAGTCGAAGAGTAACACTAACTGAAGAAAGAACTGTGGCACGCGTGGTTTGGATCGTGTGGAGAAAGGACCGTGGTGCCCGAGCAGCTCCGGGCCGCATTTGTAAATATTTCCAGTGCCATGGGGATCACGCCGAGAGGGTGTACAAATGCAGGTTTACACCTGGTCATCTGTTTTTTCTCGCTCAAACAGGGAACATGGCTAAAATACTGAGAAGGCTTCTAAGGAATAGACAGTGCACATCCCCGGTAACACGTGGGCAGGACAGTGTCAGTGGACACTAGATCAACAAGTCAAAGAGCCCCACTTCTGCTCACAACTGCCAGTTAACATCCGCAGGTGCCGCTTGCTCACTGACCGTCGTGGCAGATGAAACGAGAGCACACTGCTGGCCAGACTCCCTTGTTTGCAGTATTCCTAAGAAATTTGTAGGTGCGGGTACAGGCGTTTTGTATAGAGTGCCAAGTGGGACTTGTACTTTTAGGGTTTTTTTCTTTGTTGCATTTTGGATCCTGATTTCATTCTGTGTTGTGTAGGCCAGGCTTTTGGACCTGATGCTGAAAGTAAACCTAGTTTCCTAACCTTCTATTGAAAGGTAGGTGGTGCTGTGAGTTAATGTAATGTAGTTAGAATGTGGGAGAAAAGTAGAAGTAGCATTTAAACCTTAGTTTTCAAGGAAAATTTGTCCTTGTTACATATGGCATTGCAATGGACTTCGTCTCAGGTGACGTGAAGAATAAAAGAACCAGGTGTGTGGCAGGTAAGATAGAGCCATTAATTTAAATGTGACGTTATTCGTGGGAAACATTTATCAGTCTTTGAAGAAAGAAAAAACAGTGCAGAGTTACTTTAAAATTAGTCTGGCCACAATATGCAAGGTCAGTCAAAACAGAAGACAGCAATCAGCAGGGACCAGTTGGAAGAAGCTCTTGCTACAGTAGAAGCATGAGTTGTTACGATTCTGCACCAGGTCAAGAGGCTTTAAAGAAGGGAGAAAAGGAAGGACGGTGGACATGCTAGTTTGGGGTGCTGAGTTGCAAGTGTCCAGGTGGATGCATGCTGTCTGATAATGCAGTGATAATGTTGTCACCCAGGCCAGAGCAGTGCCCTGGGGCCAATCACCAGCTCACAGAAGGTCTATGAAGTTACATCCAGTCACGGGTATATTTCAGAAGATGTTTAAACTTTTTATAAGTGCAAAAACCAGGAGGCTTCCACTGAAATTATTTTAAATCGTTTTTGTGGATTTTAAAAATTTATTTTCTAGTGTCCCCATTGGTTTTAAGACATGGGAACAGGCAGAGTTGGAGGGAAGGGGTGGTTTGTCTAGACTCGTAATGTGGAAGGCACCATTTAGTTGAAATTCTAAGTTACAAAGAAGTTTTTTGAAAAATTATCGACGTTTTTCTTCATCATATAAAGTTAACTTTCACATTTTATCACTTCTTTATATTTTATACACCAAATCCGAGCAGCCATTTTCTTTCTAGCAAAGTGCCTATTTTTTTAAACCTCTAATTTCACTTCAGCTTCATTGCACCTATTGTGATAGGTGCAATTAAGGGAAAGTTGGGCTTTTACTAAAGGTTGAGAAATTACTAGCAAAATCATTCATTAGTTATGTATGATTTTCCTTTATCCATACCTAAGATAATTTTATTTTTTTCTGAAATGTCTTCGTTTATGAATTTTTTGTTACTTCTATCACTAAAAAACAGGCCTTTTAAAGATATGGCTGGTGTGATGAACTGATATTAGACGTAGCAGTTTACCAAGTATAAAGTGTCATATAACTCTCTGGGATCACTTTTCAGTCCCGTAAGTTGCACTTACTCCACACTTCCCATCAGTGCCCGTCAGCAGTCCGATGGAGAATGGCTGTCATCAGGAAGCTTCAGGGTCGCACTTAACAAATCGTCATCCTTCTCGGTAGAAACTACTGGCATTTAGTACATGCTTTGTTTCCCGAGTTTGCATACTTAAACCAAGCGTATTTTTAGCCTGGTTTCAACCTTTTTAATAAATTACTGCCCTCTCAGTAATTTACTTCTGTGCCTCAGTATTGGCTTACCTATAAAATGAGGAAACGAGAAATTAATCAGAGTGGTGTTTGCTGATCTTGTTTGGAATTGAGACCGATTCTGCAAGGTAGGTATGTCCTACTTCACAGTCACCACTGCAAGGCAGGCCAAGGAGGCAAACTCAGAGGTTATGTCATCTGGCTGAAGGCACACAGGTCAGAGGTGCCACACCTGGGGTTTCTGTGCAGTGCCGAAATTCAGACACTGCACCGCAGTGTATAGCTCTCCCGGCTGTATTACTCCTGCTGAGATAGTCCCGTGTTAGCAGAGAGCGTTTTCCACCGGAGAGAACTGATGGTCCGGTTCTTCCGTAGCAGCACCGATGAGTGTTCCACATGGCCGCTGAAGTCGATGCATGTGTTCTCCCGAGTGGCTCCCTTTGTGCCTCTATGGAAATTGTATGCAGAGTGCGCTGAGGGGTTTTTGTTTCCATTACGGACAACTATTTATTAACCTGGAATCCTGAAGTTCAGTATCACAACTTCTATTTTTGAATGGCAGGCTTAGAAAAGCATACGCTTTAAAAAATTAGGGGCTTAGTTCCTGTAAGGAAAAAACCATGACATAGAACATGTTGCTTTTAATAAATATCTTTGAATCTGGTCACAATTCAGAACCGAAAGTATTTGCCTAAGCTTTTATTTTGAAGGCTACAGGCTCCTATATTGGCATTCTTATCAGGCAGGGTCCAATGGTGGCAGCCCACTGGGGAGCAGAGAACGAGGCGGTCCTCTCGTTGCCCAGGCCCAAGTCTGCAGCCTCCTCCCAGGGCACCGGGCAGCCTCGGCTGCTGGGCCTGTGCTCTGTGGGGTCAGGGCGCCGCTCCCGCGCGTGGCGTCTGTCGGGAAGGCCATGGGAAGGTGGTCACCAGGCCCAGCTGGGGCCGCTGCTCTGGGCGCGTGGCCAGGCAGAGAGCATCACTGCATGTTCTGTATCTGCTGACCAGCCGAGCAGCAGCTGGAACTAGCAGTGTCCCTCGGATGCCTCTACTGAGAAAACATCGTGCTGAAACGATCCACTGAATTACTGTGAACGGACATGGAAGGGTGCACTTGAATCTGACAGACAATAAATTAGTAACTGACACACCAGTCCAGGGCACTGGGATGTAAAATGATCTCATGATTTGGAATAACGCCAAATGATAAGACATCTTGTAAAGGTAAACCGCCTGTGTTATACTTACTTTGTGGGTAGAATTCTCCTGAGGCTAGAGGTAGCGTTGCCACTTTATTTCATATAAATACCCTATCTGCTAAGTGATACACGGTTTAGTGTTAAAATACGTTACTCATTCAATAATGATGTACATCTGTGTGTGCGCCCCCCGAGTATTCAGGGCTAAATGAAGACCCTACTCAATCAGCTTGAACTGGTAAGATAATTTTTCTCAAAGTATCATTTGGGGAATTCACTACAGAAATTTTATTTTCTAGGTAGATATTTTAATATTTTTCTAGTTATCTAATTATTTAGTTCCCATAAAATATATGTAGACCTTTTCTAGTCCAACTATACATATGCTCATCATGAGACTAGAATAATGC